CTTGAGTGTTTATGTTGAGGAAGTGATTCTAGGTCTATAATGGCTATAATCTTGAATGCATTGGCTTAAATTGAGTGAATGAAAATTGTTTACATTATTTAAACATAGTATTTATGAATTTGTGGGTTTTGATGGATGGAGGGTAATTAATACCCTTATGCGTATAATTACCATATGGTTGTTATTATTGTAGTCTTGCATAACTTGACAGGGGCATATGGTTGTTAGTATTTTGTCCCCTTATATATATCAATGATTGTTATTGATGTGAGTTTTGTTGTATGATTGTGCTCTGCTACATAGTTATTAGTTTTGCAATTGTGGTAAACACTTTGAAAGAAAAGCTTAAACTTGTGATATGCGTATAAATTCCACTTGCATCATTACAATTAATTGACATGCATTCATATAAGCTATATTAATATTAGTTACTGAGTGGTTGTAGTCACTCCTTTTTTTTCAATATTACATGTGCAAGCTCATATATAGGGTCAAGATAAAAGAAAACTGCTTAAGGCATAGGATTACTTGTCCTAACTTGTACGCCTAATTTCATTTTGCATAATTATGTGTATGATCTTAATGATCTTAGCAACTAGGAATTGCATTGTTTTGTGATTGCTTGCATTATATGTTGATTGAATTAAGTGAGATATTTTAGACTTTAGGTTGTATGTAAGATTAACTTTGAAATGGTCAAAATACTAGTGTAAGTATGTTGTCAATGAAAAGTGTATATACATATTTCATATGAAACGGTCTCCTCCTTATGTCTTTATGATCAAGGGGTTGAGAGTTGAAAGTGTGATTTATGTGTTGTTGGAATGGCATGGTGTATTGCACAAGTTTAATTAGGCCTTCTAAGTATGGCATAAAGGTATTCGTATGGCACTTGATAGAGAGTATGCACACCCAAGTGGAGTTTTAAAGGTAAAAAGAAGTGAGTTTACATATAGGTTTTTAAATTTTTAAAGATAAATGATTTGTGAGTGGAACTAGTGCTAATTACTAAAGCTTTGAATGAGCTTTCTGTAGACATCTAGATCACCTCAATTAAATGTTAAATGAAGATTTGGGACATATTAAAAGTTTACTTTTATTGCTGTCAAATGATAGTAACAATGCTATTAAACTTGCATCACAACGCATGGCTCTTGCATCACAATGCATGGCACAGATGAGAATATACCGCAGTGCATAGGAGAAATGCCATGGCGCACCTCTTCTTCACTGCATTGAAGTATTGTTTTCAACTTAAATGTAAATGCTTTAATACAAATCAGCATCCCATATTTCCATAAACACGTTTTGCTGTGATTTTTGATTTATGAAAGTGTGAAAATTGTATTTTGTCTAGGTTTCTATATGCAAATTGAAAGTAAATAAAAAATCCTAATAAAATAAATAAATAAAATAAACAAAAAAGAAATAAAAATGGATCTTTGTGATAAAAAATAATAATAATCTTCCTTTTTTGATTGACCCCAAATCGCCTCAATCATATTCCCGCCCAATTTAATTTAATTAAAGAAAAATTTGAAAATTTCAAAAGTCAAATTAATCAAATATGATTTTGAGATGATTATAACTTGATTTGGTATTTGATTTAATTAAGGGAAGAATTTGAAAGTTTAATTTGAAAGGTCAAATAGCAGTTAATGGGATTTTGATTTGAGGTGATCAAGTTTTGATAAGCCCATTGGTTAAAAAAAAAAAACCTTAATTAAGCCTATGAAAAGAAAGAGAAGAGGACATAGAGAAGGGGGGCTGGAGATGAAAAAAGTAGAGAGGTGGCCAAAAACCATTGGATTGCGCATCACTATAAGAGCTCCTTTTTATATTATTATCTTCTATTTGCTTTTCACAATATATTAGGATTATACGTTTGCGTTAGTATTGAATCTCATTGTTGTGATCATTACGGGAGTGTTGTGGTTACAATTTCATTTTACTCTAATCCAATGATATATAATTGCACTCTAGCTAATCGAACACACTCTCCAAGAGAAATAATATTCATAAATGCTTGAACTTAATAGACAGGAAATCGAAACTGGCTTTGGCTAGCGTGTGCTCATGACACACACACAGACACACGCACAAATGTTCTAAAAGGTATTGAGTTCTTTTCAGGCTCATTTTCAGCTGTCATGTGAATAAAAGAATTATTATTAATCTTTTCAGTTTTTAAATTTTTCATGAGTGATACTAAATCATCGTAAATATTTGACATTAGTGAGGGGTATATCATGAGTAATATTAAATCACCTCAATTATCAAATAAAAAAATTTCTTTGTTCATTGCTTCTAAAAAAATGACAAGTCTATTGATATATTTTTATGTTGTATCTTGAGTGATATTATGTCACTGTAAATTCCTAAAAATATTGATCGGGATATCACGAATGATAAATCATCGTAAGTATTAAGTTTCTTATTAAAATTTTTTAGTCAAATTGTTATTTGAAAAATTACCTTTGAAGATCCTTTTCATACTTTTAGAGTTTGTCACAAATGATATTAAATTGCCATGTATTTAGAGCATCAATGAGTGGACTTTAAATGATACTAAATCATTTCAAGTTCTAATGCTGGCTAATTTTTTCCTCTTGTACATTACTAAAGAATAATAAATTTGTTAGCATATTTTATGTTATGCTATGAGTGATATCACCATGAATTCCTAAAAATATCAAATGAAATGTTGCGAATGATCCTAAGTCCTCGCACTTATTAAACTTTACATTAAAATTTTATAGTTAAATTGTTCATTTTGCTAGGGTTTTCCATGAGTAGTATTAAATCACCATATGCATATAAAGTGTTAATCAGCGGATTGTGAGTGATACTAGATCACCGCAGGTTTTAGGATTGGTTATTTTCCTCTTCTCCAAAGGTATTTTCAAGGAATGAATTTTTATTAAAGAAAAAGGCAACCCAAAATAACATTTTCTTCATAAAATAAATTAATTAAAAAATTAAAAGAAAATATTTAATTAATTATACTCTCAAACTACACGAATTTGATCTTTATTGCAAGGTACATAGGTTTTAGACTTTGACCTTAGGTCAAGTCTTCCTATGTAAATAAATAATTTGTTTTCATAATTTTTTATCTTTATTTTGTATGTGATTATAAAGGGTAATCAAGAGATGATTAAGAGGTCAACTTAATTTTATGCAATCAACTTAGGGTATTTATTCTTAAAAATGAGTATTGTGGGATGTTTAACATTTTTTCCACACACAATTAACTTCCAAACTTTTTTTGCAGACAATCCTTTTCAATTATATGGTTTTCATGGTCTCCTAAACACTTTGGTAGTAAGTCTCATTTTCCTACATTATCGGTCTTCCCTCCCTGAGAAAGTCAATATTCGGGTGCGATAGAAAGTATATTAGAATGACTTAAAAACTTAGAATTCTATTTATATGATTTTATAAACTTGATAATCCTTTGAGTTAATTTCATGATTACCTTAATTTGGAGTTAGTGAATTTGCAAGGATAGCCTTAAAAGACTAGATTGATTAGATGGGGTTAATTGTGCAGGTTATATTAGACCTCGAACTGACCTTCAGGACCAATTATCTAATTTGACCCAGTGATAATTATATTTATAAACAATTTTTATATGTATTTTTAAAGTATTTTTACATGTTTTGTCTCGATTTTTTTTTTTTAAATTTTATCAGTTATTTTCTCCACCCTCGACTCAATGCCTTCATCCAATATCCTTCCTTGTGCTTCTCCATTTCAGAATCCTTCCCCATTCTCCAATTTGTGACTCTGTCCAGTAGTCTTCCCCACACTCTCCCTCCTTCCTCCCATCATTGATTTCTCGCATGCAAGTCATGGTTCGAGCATCTTCAAAGTTTAGATTGGTGACTGTAGCTCTTTACTTTGGCTCGCCTCTACTCTGCTCTTCGGTGCCTTTCTTGCCTTTCTCCAACGATAGGCGCTTAGAAAAAGGAGATGCTTCACGGTTTCAGTTCAGATTTGGGATCTTCTTTTGTGGCTCTTAAGATATGCTTCCGTTCCTCCCCCTTCTTCATTGATCAGATTTGTTTCTTTGATTATGATTTATGGCATGCTTTCTTGTTTCGGCTCATTCCATCTCTTTTCTTGGGGTTGATTTTTCAGAAGGTGTCCTGTGAACTGGTTTGATAACCCGACAGACTAAGTTCAATAATCCTTCAAAAATCTAGCCCTGTGCTACTTTAGTCTATATTTCACAAAAGCATCACACTTGCGCACTTTTTCACAAAAGCATCTCTGATTCATTTTCTGGACAACCTCTCAATCAAAACTTATTAAATTCTGGATGAAATTGCAATTAATTATTAATTAATTAACCAATACTACGTTTTAAAAGTTTTAAAATAATTGGATGTGCTATTCAGTTTTCTCGCACATATGCATCCGCCAAATTCTGTTACCTGGAAAAGGCCGTCGCGTTCAGAGGCGAGACACTACGGGCCATGAACAGGTACATTTTTGTTGACCCAAAACCCAATGGACACGATGTTTTTATCAAGTTTTTAAAAACCAGACAAATTTGGACCTTAATTGAACCAGGATTAAATTATTTGTAATTAATTTAATATTTTTAAATAATATACATATAAAATCATAAAAATAAATTGCTTTACAATAATAAATTATAATATTTTTTTTAAAGAAGAAGTATTCAACCTAAAGAAGAAAATGGTAGATTATGAATTATTTATTTATTTATCCTTTAATTTGTTTGAAAGATAAAAATAATATTAGCAAGTTTTGTCCTGTTTTCTATTTATTGGATATAACCAACATATATGCTTTATAAATATTAAAATAAAATTTAATTATTTTAATTTGAAATTTAAATCCTATTAAAAACCTTGACCATAAATAAATTGTAGTGTCCTTACCTTTTCTATTTCCCAATTAGTTTCCGCCTCCTTCTCCATTCATTCATATTATGACAATAAAAATCAATCAAATCCCAATCACCGCCTGTCATCTTCTCGGCTTCTTCCAACTGTATTAACGAGCTTTTATGCATAAAAATAAAAGATATTGGAGGTTTTCAATCAAGTTTTAAAGGTAAAGGATGTTGCGTATAGCTAAAGTTAAAGAGAGTTTTTATGAATTTTAGTCACAATATGATACTAAAATCAATCAATTCAAATTAATGCTGATCGCATGGAGAGATAAAGAAGGGCAATCCATTTACATTCCTTCTCGTTTCGTCTTTCTCCTTCCGCATTTTCTTCATGTGGTCATCTTCATTCTCTTCTCTTCTTTCATCATGATAAGTCTCCCTTAAGGTACAACATTTTGGTTTCCATTGGATTTATGAATTCTTTTTCGGGGTGGAAATCGGATTTATGATTTAATTGTAAATATGATGGTTTGGTGATTGAAGAACTGCGACTAGCATGATGACTTTCCTTGAAATAATTGTTTCTCTTAATTTATTTCATTTGAATATCTCTTTCTACTCCTCCTGATTTTCTTCCTCTCTCAGCTCTCCCATCTGATTTTAATTTTTTTCTTTTTTTTTTTTTCCAGATCTAAAGCTTGAACCAGTAACCCACCCAGCCTGCCGGTTTTCCCGATTCAGACCGGTTCTTGACTGATTTGCTTCATCATGGTTTCATGGCTTGCTCCGGACCGGACCAAATGCCGGTTCATGGTCGGTATCATTTCTTTCTTTCCTTAAAAAAAAAAAAAAATTGATGATAAGTAAGCATTATTTTGTTCCCCGTTTGGCGCGAAAGGGAAACTAACAAAATTCTTGTCCTCATGAGAAATTAGGCACTCATAAGAATGTGAATGGCGAGACACGCTGCGGTGGGAATCCGTTAAAACACAACGGTCCAAATCGGGAGCTCGTTTCTTGCTCAGCAAGCCATCGCCTCGAGGGGCCGAATCATCTCCAGGGGGGGCTCATGGATCTCAAAAAAGGAATCGCCTTGAACACTCCCTCTGAACCCCCCACACCCACCACCCCTCGTTCCACTCTATTCCTCTCCTCTTCCGCCAAGGCACTCCTTGTTTCCAACTCCAGTAAATCCCTCCAGGCCTCCAATTCCAGTAAATCCATTCTCTCCAATTCCGGCAAGCGCTTCGACAAGAAGAAGTACGTCAAGCAGGTCACCGGCCGCCACAACGACACCGAACTTCACCTCGCCGCTCGGCGTGGTGACGCCGCAGCTATTCGACACATTCTCGGAGAAATCGATGCCCAGATGATCGGAACCCCTAGTGGGGCCGATTTTGATGCCGAGCTCGAGGAGATTAGGTCCGCCATTGTCAATGAGGTCAACGAGTTGGGGGAGACAGCTCTGTTCGTGGCATCCGAGCTGGGGCATATTGACGTGGTGAAGGAGCTTCTACCCCACGCCACCAAGGATGCCCTTTCCTTGAAAAATCAATCCGGCTTCGATGCCTTGCATATTGCTGCTAGCCAAGGTCACCTAGGTATTAATCATCTTGCCTTCTCTCTCTCTGTTTATAACTGACAACAGGATATTTACATTGTGGCATTTGTTACCAGTAGTGGGTTTATTTCTTACTGGGGACCCCCTAATCGATTAATTTCTGATGATGCCAAAGACATATAAACCTCTTAGCAACACGATAAAGTGGAGGAAGATCATCAGGAGTTTTGGAAAGTTTACATGACACTTCACCCTTGGCTTGCTTTTATACTTCTTAATGGGTTCTGAAAGAATGACGCTGTAGTTAACATTGAAGGTAGTGATCAAGGACATTGATACTCGCCATATACAACAACTAACTGATTTAACTGTGAATTTTCGGCAGCCATTATACAAGTGTTACTAGACCATGATCCAGAGCTAATAAATACATTTGGACAATCAAATTCAACTCCTCTCATATCAGCATCTACAAAAGGGCATGCGGATGTTGTTAATCTATTATTATCACGAGATCCTAGGCAGGTGGAGTTATCTAGGTCCAATGGAAAGAATGCCCTCCATTTTGCTGCTCGTCAGGGACATGCTTTTATAGTAAAATCACTACTCGAAAAAGATCCACAACTTACTCGAAGGATTGATAAGAAAGGGCAGACTGCGTTGCATATGGCTGTAAAGGGGGTTAGTTGTGAAGTAGTGAGGTTGCTTCTTAATGCAGATCCATCAACTGTTGCGCTACCTGACAAGTTTAACAATACTGCATTACATATTGCCACCAGGAAAAAGAGGGCAGAGGTATCGACTTGGCTGAACTTCAAACAATTTTATCAGAAATCCATGCAGCAATTCATAAATTTTGTAATTATGTTCATTGCTTTCATGTGTATAATGTGATATGATTTTAACCAAGTAAGCAATTCCTAGGAGCCACTAATGAATTAACAGATTTAGTGTAAACAAGCAAAATTCGTCTGTAGCGGAATTGGTTGAATCATGTTGGCTCTCATTGTTTGTATATGTAGGCATTACCCATATGTCATGCCTGTCTTCGATGTAGTCTATTCATGACCGACATAAAATCATGCAGATAGTGAGTGAGCTATTGCTTCATCCCGAAACCAATGTTAATGCCCTAACAAGAGACCATAAAACATCTCTTGACATTGCTGAAGGACTCCCCCCATCTGAAGAAATCCTAGAGATAAGAGATTGTCTGATTCGTAGCGGCGGAGTTAAAGCCAATGATCTTAACCAACCAAGGGATGAACTAAGGAGGACTGTGACACAGATTAGGAAGGAGGTCCACATTCAGCTTGAACAAACTCGGAAAACAAACAAGAATGTGGATGGGATTGCCAAGGAGCTACGCAAGCTGCACAGGGCGGGGATCAACAATGCTACCAACTCAGTTACAGTGGTGGCTTCACTCTTTGCAACAGTTGCATTTTCTGCAATTTTTGCTGTTCCTGGTGGGGATTTTGATAGTGGGATGGCCGTTATGGTGTCCACTCCATCTTTTAAGATCTTCTTTATTTCTAATGCAGTTGCACTCTTTACGTCATTGGCTGTTGTCGTGGTTCAAATTACAGTTGTTAGAGGGGAGACAAAGTCTGAAAGGAGGGTTGTGAGAGTGATTAACAAGCTGATGTGGTTGGCCTCTATTTGTACCACAATTGCATTCATTTCATCATCTTATATAGTAATTGGTCGACGAAACATATGGGCTGCGATCCTTGTTACTGTGATAGGGGGAGTTGTGATGGCGGGTGTTCTTGGTGCTATGACATACTTTGTGCTTAAATACAAACGTATTCGGAGGGTGAGAAAGAAAGCCAAATTCTCCAAGAAACATCTAGGGCATCATTCAGATTCAGATTCAGAAATAAATCCGATTTATGCCATTTGATGTCATTTTGGACTTCAAACTGCACTCTAAATTTTCTACGCAGCATCTTTGCAGTCACTCGGCTGACTATACTGGACGTTTCATATCTTGATAAAGCAACATGGTGGCCCTTGGGGAAATGAAAAGCTTTTTTTCGTGTTACAAGGGGCATAACTTAAGAGAGCCAAATTATTGGCTAGTTACTACGTACGGATCTTAAAAATGAAGGAAATCAAATCAATGATCAAGTTTCTCGTGTGTATGTATGCTTAAATGTTTGTGTATTTAGATATTATTATAGATTATGACCTGCAATCCCCTTATAGCATACCTTTTCTCATGATTTTACATCTTAAAAGCAAGAGACAGTTTGTTTCCGACAATTTGTTAAGCAGATCTTACTGATCTTGTTGCGTGTGATATAGATAGGGATTTGTTTGTTTCCCCCCCTCCTCTACTCTCCTTCACAAGGAGGAAAGGTTTTTCATTTTCTAACACTTCTCGTATTTGACATTTGTGGATGATAATGGATTGCCGAGGTCGAGGGGTCTTGTTCATTATAATCTCTCACAGTTAACTCACAGGGTTTATGATGTGTGACAAGGAACATGTTGATTGAATTGAAGTTCCCTATGTAGGGTGTTATTCTAAACGTGAAACATGGTCCCATGCCTGTTTCTTCAGCACCTTCAAGGTTGTCAGGTATTCATTGAGCATAATACAAAAGACAGTTAATCAAGTGCAAGCAATAGACAAGTTCTCTAACTATTGTGGTACGTCAGGTGGAATCTCCCCCGACGTTTGGCACGTTCCGTGAATTTTGAGATTATGCAAGGGATGCCATATTTATCAACAGTTAGGTTCTGTTCATACTTTTTATCTATTTATATACCATATTAACCGACTGTTATTGTTCGGTGCTGCTTTAAAATTGGGTTCATAACTTTTTTTTTTTTTAAACAGTAGACTGATGTTCAAGCTTAGCTGTGAATTTAATGTAAGGCGAGCATGGGTGCCTCATTGCATTGACAGTTGTAGATCGATGTTGACTTGTGTTTCCTGGATCAGCAGAAGATTGTGTTGGAATTGTTGAAATTTCCAGGTCTTGAAGAAAGGAGCATGGAATGAATCGGATGTAATGGGGGCAGTTCTTTTTGGCAATGCTTATTTTGTTGTTTTGGAATGAATTGGGAAGTGTCGTTGCTGAAAAAACAACGAAAGCAAGAAAAATATAATGAAAAGAAGCAACATAATTGAATCTATGTCATGATGAGAAAATTAACGCGTGGTCATCTGGAACAAATGAATGAATGAAGATGGGAGTTGTTGAGGGACCTTGCAGAAGCAAATATAGGAAGAAGGCGGGAAACACGGGGGGATGAACGCGGACGGAGTGACCGGAAAGAACACGCAAGTCAGGTAGAAAGTCAAGCAAGAAGCGAGAGAGTAAGACAAGTACTGGGCTAAAACTATTTGTTAAAACGCACTCGCAAATGATCTGTCTTCATAAACCATTTCTTTTTTGGGTTAAGTCGTTAGTACCATTTTTTGTTTATTCTCCTGAGGTTACGGGACAGCTTAAATTTAATTATCAGCCAATTTTATCTTTTAAGTTAAACATTCATCCTCTCATTATCCTGCCATTTTTTCACAATCTCTTTATCATTAATAGAACTCACATTATATTTTTTAATATATTTTATTATAAAATACTCCTTCCGTTTCAAATTGTAAGATATTTTTAAAAAAATTTAACGTTTTAAAATATAAGATATTTTAACAAAAGTAAAATTTTATTAATGATACTTTTTATTTTAAATATTATCTTTACCATATATTATCTTTCTTCAATATTCTTTTATTAATGAAGTATTAAATGAAAGATATTTTTAAAAATTTATATTTTTATCTTGAAAAAATAAGGTTGTAAAGTGTATTTAATGAATTTTATTGATATGTGAGATTTTATTTAAAAATATTTTATAATTTGAACGAAAGAAGTATTTGGATTGAGAGTGCCCATTAACTCTTCGAGTAAAAGTTGAGGGGCAAAAATGATTCTTAACTCAATAAAAAATACTCCCTTCGTTTTAAATTATAAAGCACTTCTAAATAAAATTACACATATCAATAAGGCTTATTAAATACACTTTATAATTTAATTTTTTCAAAATAAAAATATAAAATTTCAAAAATAACCTTCATTTATTACTTTATTTATGAAAGAATATTAAAGAGAGATAATAAAATAGGAAGGACAATATTAAAAAAACATCATTAATAAAACTTTATTTTTATCAAAGTGTCTTATATTTTAAAAAGTTAAATTTTTTTAAAAATATTTTATAATTTGAAACAAAGAAAGTAATAAAAAATGGTGTGACGCACCAATGACAAATAAAATTAGGTATTTTTAATGATAGGGTGATAAGAAAATAAAATTTTAACGTTAAGAAATATAATTAAATCATAGTTAAGTTCAAGGGCATCCATAACTATTTAGATAAAATTAAAAGGCAAAAATAATCTTTAACCTTCTTTTTTTAACCAAGCATCTTCATAAAACATTTCACTCCGTGCATGTTTTGTTCTTTTGATTGCCACATACTTTTAACTCAATCATATAAATAATAATAATAAAAAAGCTTGCAATTCAATCGTCTTAATTACCCTATTAAAATCATTAAATGGTACTCCCTCCCAGTCATAGAGACAGAAAAGTTTATCAGTGAGGGCAACATTTATATTAAATATAAATATCAATATCAATATTTTCAAAGAAAATATAATTCTAATTAATATTAATTAAAATAATGTATAAATAAATTGCAAAAAAAGTTTAAAAATATATATTAATTTCATTTACATCATAAATTTATTTTTTTAATAAACAAAAAAGAATAAATGGTACTTTTACACAGGCATGTTTGATAGTTTTAGAGGGTGTGGGCAATAGACTTTTTCCCGCGACGATCGCAATTGTAAAAGGGGTAAGAACAATTTTAACAGGGAGGTAGGTGAAATTTTTGTTGCTTTGGTAGGGACAATTGCCCCCACTTCTCTCAATTTATCCTTGCTCCTTCTTATCTTTGATATAAACTTATTTTTATTTTTCTATTTTAAAAATAAGGCAAAGTTAGAATAATTAATATCTTTTTAATTTATTCCTTATTGTTCGAATTTTTGAATAACAATTTATTTTGATTATTAATTATAAAAAAGGATAAAATTAAAAAGTTACATATTTTTTAACAATGTTAAAGATATAATTACATTGAAATTTAAAAGTTACATATTTTTTAATAATGTTAAGGATATAATTATCACTTATTAATAAGCGTAAAATTGATTAACATTGCATTAACTATGTTAAAGATAGGAGGCAGTATGTAAAACTCTTATATTTATAAAAAATTATTTTCATAAAGGAAATGTTTGAAAATATGTTATAATCAATCAAGTAGGATTATTTTTAATTAAAAAAATATATTACCAATCAAATCAAAATAAAAGATATGTGGAGATGTGTTTTGGGTAGGATTGAAAGATTTCTCTTGTTTTTTTTTTGCTAAAAAAAGAAAATTATATATGAGTCTCATAGAATAAATTTACTTACAAATAAGTTTTATAAAATTCAAAAATCATAGCTAAATCTCAAGGACTTAAGTATAATTTAAAATTAATTTGCAAAGACAATAAGACCCCTATAAAATATACATTGCATCAATTAAATAATTATTTTATACCTACTTTATTAGTAATTTATAAATATAACTTTAACTTTTTATAACTATAATTTTATACATTTAATAGTTAAATCGATCAATTTAATTATTAAATATATGAAGTTACAATTGTAAGAAATTAAAGTTTTAATTGTAAATTACTGATAAAGTAGTTGTAAATTATTTGGACTAATGTAATGTAAGTTTTATAAAAATTTTATTGTCTTTACAGTCTAATTTAAATTATATACTTTTAAATTTCATGAGACTTATTTGTAAATAAATATACTCCCTAAGACTCATACATAATTTTCTCTCTTTTTTTTGACAAAAAACTCTTTTATTTTTTTTTGTTGCCAAAGAAAATTTTTTAGTTCTAACCATGACACATCTCCACGTATCTTTTATTTTGATTTGATTGGCAGTAGTATTTTTTTTATATTAAAAACAATCCTACTTGATTGATTATAACGTATTTTAAAAAATATCCTTTATAAAAATATTTTTTATAAATATAAGAGTTTTAAATTATTTAATTAATATAATATATATTTAATAGGAATGTTATTATTCTTTTATTTAAATTTTAAATTATATTTAAATTTTAAAATATCAAGTCATAATTTATAAATTTTGTAAATTTATTTATAAATAAATCAGTTTTATAAAATTTATATATAATTTTTTTAAAAAATAATGTATTTTATTGTCGTGGTAGTAGTATTGGCAAGAAAATTGTTGGTCATAAAAGTAATTTCAACTGAAAAATAATAATAATAATAAAAGCAACAACGTAACGAACTGAGCCAAATTTTCAACTCCAACTGCCGACCCTCAATTATTACGTGCGGCGGCCACCACCCACAACATTTGACTCGGTCAACTCCGCCACTTTTTTAAAGTAAGATTTAATCACTGAATAAGTAGGGTTTTGTTATTTTGCCGGAACAAATAACTTGAAATTAGACAACGATCCGCTACGATGCTTTGCTAAAAGATCTTTTAAAATTGAAATAACAGCATTGCATTTTAATTTTACATTCCCTTTTTTAGCTGAAAAAATCTTGAATAAACGATATTAGTCCATTGAAACCATGGGGGCTTGGTATCTGACATTCTAAAATTTATGGGAAAAAACTATCATTTTTAAAAAAATGCTCCCTCAAAAATTGTCAGGAAATAATAGATTTCTGATTCCTTAAATTTATTTGAGGTTTTAGTTTTACATTTAATTTCATTTAATTCCGGTCTAATTTATTAACTTTAATATTTGATTCTCATTTATTGAGTTTGCCTAGCTTTAGAGAGAGAGAGAGAGTGTGTGTGAAAAAGGAAAATATTTAATTTTAATAAATTTTTATAAAAATTATGCCACAGATAATGTCGTTTTGTAATTTACTCGCAAGACATTGGAGGAAGTGATGAATAAAACAAGATCGTTTTAAAATGACCAAGATTGATATGCTTTGAAAAGTGGCTAGATCTCTTGAATCTCTCGGCTTGGATGATATAGGATTATTTTTTTTTTGGGGTAAAGTAGGAAAGTTTTCGTCCTCCCTCAGCTTCTCCGTCCATGTGTGTCAGACTAAATAAAATAATAAAAAATAAAAAAGCAAACACCTGGCCCACAATTATTGTATGAATTCAATTCCATTCACATCGCGAATCCGGACCCACGTGAAACACACACATCCCTTATTGGCTATTATAATGTATGAGTAGATAATTAAGGTAATCATTTATAAAAAGCGAGCGTTGGTTATTTAAAATACCCATTTTAATTATTTATTTGAGAAATTACTTTTATTGATAGAAACTCGCAATCAATAGATGGAGTAATACACTTGTTATGAAGTAATAAACTAATTGACCTTTAGGTCATTGACTATATTATTAATAAACTAATTATTTGATATATTTTTATCGTGAAAAATGATTTGATATTTAGTGTATTATAACTCTGTACTATTCATCATTTATCGGTAATCAATAGAGTTAAATTGATCTTTGTAGAATTTAATTAAAACAAACCAACGTGGGTCCAAGCTAGTAGTCAGTGGAAGAAATCGAGGGTCAACCAGTGACTGCAGGCGTCAGTATCAGCTTCGATAGTATCCAAACCAAACTCGTGCGATTTATTCTTGGCTTTAGGTCCTCAATATTGGCATTGGGTTCTCTTCTTTTTCTTTTTCCTCTGCTCGAGGTTTTGCCGCACTCTGGAATCTTTCAGCCAAATCAATTTCTTCGCGCCCCCTCTTTTTCTGCTGATATAGACGGAGCCGAGTGTGATTCAATTGCTGCTCTGCCCTTTTGCACTTCCATTCGGGGAAGAATTCATTCCGTAGCTGCTCCTGGGATTTCTGTGGCTTGAAATCAATCTACCATCTTCTGCATGTTAGTTTTCAGATTTCAGATCGTTGCCAGAGCAGGAGATAAGGCGACCCCTGTATCTCGGAATCAGGAACTTCAGTTACGTTATTTATGAACTCGTTGGAAAATTTTGTTTAATTCTCCTTCTTCTCCTTCTTCTTCTTCTTGTTTTCATTTTCACTTTCTGTTATGTAACCTCTTAATTTCGGAAATTGCTTTCTCACGGGTATAAGGTCAAAATTAGACTACAAAAACCGAAAGGGCGTGACTCCCCGCGATAGTTTTGTGTATTATTAAACCATCCTTGATTATTGCAGTATATAAATTGGGAACTTTTTGGGCTTCTGAGTGCTTACCCTTGGGGTTATTTGTTTCTATTCCAAATCGTTGTTTATAGCGGAAACTAGTGGAATCTGGCTTGATGCTCGGAGCGTGGAGGAATCTGCGGAAGCCCGACTCTCGAGTAGTTATATTTGGATCGCCTTGTCCATAATAACCAAGAATCTGATGCTTCAGAGACTGCGATTTTTTGACTCTTTCTGAAGCGGGTGTCTCCCAAAGGAATGCAAACTTGAGAAGTTGGAGCTCCACCAAGGCAGTAATACATATTTCTTAAGCAAGATGAAGAAACAATTGACAGGTATACGGGACGATAACCCCCTGCAGTCAGCTATCCGAGCAGGAAATGTAGAATTGGCATTGAAAATTATTTCTGAGAATGGAGATACAGAATTGAAGGAGTTGCTTTCGAAGCAAAATCACTCTGGTGAAACTTCCCTTTACGTTGCTGCTGAAAATGGCCATGTTGATTTAATGAAGGAATTGATCCACTATCATGATATTGGCATGGCCAGTGTCAAAGCAAGAAATGGTTTCGATGCATTCCATATTGCTGCTAAAAATGGGTACCTGGGTAAGTCCCTTGATTCTCTAAATTTTGCTGGATCCTATGTTCAAATCTCTTCCTAAGTTGAGTGTGTTGGTGAAGTTGTAAGCAAAATATTGTTACTTTATATTCATATTTCTTTATATATACAAGAATAAATTTACATAATTTAGAAGTATCGGTACTATGCATTCAATTTCACCTTTTCACACAACTCTAGAGAATCCAGATTCTTGCTCGTTTTGCCCAGAAACTTGCTTGTGTATTTAATGATATAGATTCTGACTTTCTAATTTTTCCATTGATTTGTATCTCTTTGATAATTTTCATTATCAGTTTAACCGCCGGAATTTGTCTGATTCCCCTCTCTTCTGCTGTTTTTCAGAGATATTGATGGTCCTGAAGGATGCGATTCCAGAACTTTCACTGACTGTTGACATGTCAAACACTACAGCATTGCACACTGCTGCAGCACAAGGACATATCGAGATAGTAAACTTTCTCTTGGACAAAGGTAGCAATCTGATCACTATTTCAAAAAGCAATGGGAAAACTGCGTTGCATTCTGCTGCAAGAAATGGGCATGTGGAGGTCGTCAGGGCCCTTCTGAACAAAGAACCTGAAATTGCTATGAGAATTGATAAGAAGGGTCAGACAGCGCTCCACATGGCAGTTAAAGGACAAAATCTTGAGTTGGTGGTGGAAGAGCTTGTGAAATCATTTCCATCTTTGACTAACACAGTTGATGCCAAGGGAAACACTGCACTGCATATCGCCACTCGGAAGGGTCGTCTACAGGTGAAAGACTATTTTCTTTTTTCCGTTTTCATTTAACAAATGGAAATGAACTAATAGCTTTCTGAGAGATTATAAACTGTAAATGTCGCACAAGAAAGTTTGTGTATATTGGGCACTTTCAAAGAATTATCTTCATTGAAGAATTTTTAAAATACCATTTCCTTCTGCAGATGAGTGTGTCTTGATTCACATAAAATCAATTTGTTCAGCATCTGTGGCAGTTCACTTTATGTTGCTGGAATTTTGAGTCACTTCTCTGACATAAAACACAATTATTTTCACGTCGCAACTTGATGATAAATGTGTTTATAATAAATTGGCTTCACAACATCCTCAACAAATTAAATACTGTCGGTCCTAAATTTTAACTCATTGTTGACCTGATTAGCTAAGCAGTTGACTAATTTGTCCTCAAGATTCATCTGAATGTTCTCGTGATTTCTCATAGATTGTTGGGAAGCTACTAGAGAACAGAGGAACAGACACAGATGTCATCAACAAATCTGGAGAAACTGCTCTGGACATTGCGGAGAAAAATAAACACTCGGACATTGTCAGCATTCTTCAAGATCATGGAGCTCAGAGTGCCAAGTCCATGAATTCACATTCTACAAACCCTGCCCTTGAACTCAAACGCACAGTGAGTGATATAAAAAGCGGGGTTCATAACCAGCTAGAGCACACAATCAGAACACGAAAGCGCATGCAAGGCATAGCGAAACGACTCAACAAAATGCAAGCTGAGGGGCTTAATAATGCAATCAACTCCAACACTGTCGTTGCTGTTCTTATTGCAACGGTTGCTTTTGCTGCTATATTCAACATTCCAGGCCAGTATCCTGACCTCCAAAACGGAAAAGCACTTCCACCTGGAATGTCTGTTGGGGAAGCATATATTGCTCCACAAATGGGATTTTTGATTTTCATCATCTTTGATTCTACTGCCCTCTTTATATCCTTGGCTGTTGTGGTTGTGCAAACATCAGTTGTGGTTATTGAGAGGGAAGCAAAGAAACAAATGACGGCGGTTATAAACAAGTTAATGTGGCTGGCTTGTGTGCTAATATCTGTGGCATTCATTGCAATGTCATACATAGTTGTGGGGAAGCATAAATGGTTGGCCATTGCAGCAACGGTTTTAGGGACGGTGATCATGGCAGCTACACTAGGAACTCTATGTTATTGGGTGATTGCTCACCGGCTTGAGGCCTCCAGATTGCGGAGTCTTAGGAGGTCAACCATGAGCAGTAGACAGTCTCTGTCTATGTCTATGATGTCGAATTCGGAGAGTGAATACAAGACTGTGTATGCAATATAAAATCCCATGCTACAATTTTCTTATGTGCGGCTTGCCTCCCTGCCTTTTAAGGTCTTATCAACACTATCTCATAATTCATATAAATAATGCTAATTGCACGGTTATTTTGTCATGTTTTGCTCTCTTAAATCAGGAAAGGTACCGGATAATCTCTTCCATTAAAAAGATTCGACAAATTACGTAGAGGCAAACCTGGATTGTAGCTTTGTATTTGGACATGACATAATGCTAATTGCATGGTTATTTCATGGACATGGGAAAATGTGTGTTTTCTTGCTTCTTGTGTTTAGCTATATTCTCAGGGGTGTCGAATTACCAGAAACAAGCGACCGAGTAAAGATGGTCTTAAAAAAATGAATTTGATACCTTTTAACAATGGGTGACATTACGCCCGTGGCTATACTTGGTCACTCAATCCAACGGTGCCATGAAATCTTTTACATATGAATCAGAAATTAATGAATAACTATTCCATGTTCATACATCCACGTGTGATTCCGACGACAGTGTTTTCCTCTTCCTTTTTGGCCTCTTCAGATCATGTTTTCCAGTTCATTCCATGAAGAAAACTAAAGGCTAAAAACCTGCTTAGCTAGTGGGATTGGCCAAGGTGGATAAAGCAACCGAAGCCTGTTTATCTTTTGTTGTTGTCGTGTAGATGGAGCTAGGAGCTTAGCTATGAAAGCGACAAAAAAAAAAAAAAAAAAAGCGCAAAGCATTACATGTTTGTCAGGTAATTCACTCGGGAGATGGGTCAGCACATCCGTATTCGAAAAATATCACAAAAAAATATCAATGCTAACAAAGAGCTATAACAATTTAGTAGAGCTTATGGTAATGCAATTCAAAAGAAGGATGATCACTTAATATGTTCCAGCAAATCGGTTGAAAATTTTTAGAATTTATTCAATTTTAGCACAATTATTCGTTTGAATGTCCATCGAAATACCAATTGAAACAGGCTCATAATTGGAACATCAATCTGCTGAAGCAGATTCTGAGCAAAGCCTGACAGCATCTGGCACCTTCGTTGAAGAACATTGTTGCTGAGACTGTTTACAATGGGCTATGGCTCCTTCAATCGAACTTTCTCGGTCTGAGTGTGCACTACTACTCCTTGAGCTTGAGCTGAGTGAAAAAGATGAAGATAAGGACCCAAATGAGGGCGTAGACATCAAAGATGAAGCCTTCATTACAGAATGTCGAATCACCCCTGAAAGAGATCGTGCATGCACACCATCTTTGATCAGCTCTCTGTTTATGGTCCTCACGAGTAACCTGTGCCTTGTATCATCGACGATTTCAGATGGGGTTTTCGATTTCTTTTCTGCCACTGCATTGTTTGAGGCAGATACACAGGACTTGTCTGAACAATCATATTTTCTAAACAGCGACTGCACATAAGCTCGTGAAGCCTGGAGCCTTTGACCTAGACTAGACTGCTTAATCTGTCTCAGCTTCTTGGACCAAGATTTCCTTGGAGGATCCCCAGCAACCCCATTTATTTCGCTGGGCAATACAGACAGAAACTTATCTGGGTCTACTTCACTCATAGCCATGCATGATTCTGAAGGTGAAATGCTAGGACATGGAGAAGGCAAGGGAAAGCCATAACCTTTCAAGGCTGACTCGGAGATGGCATTGGAATTGTTGAGGAGGTGAAGGGGAAGGAGTTTTCCCTTATGGAAGAGCTCGTCAGCAAGGGAAGACGAAGACTCCTTCTCATGTGAAACTGAAGTAATCTGGAATTCAAACTCTCTGTTTTGTGGGGGAGAACCAATTGGGTGAGAGATTAAATCAGAAGAACTTAATTCCAAGTGAATGAAGTGTTCATCCACGTGAGTAAACGAAGCTTCTTTTGCTGCCATTTCATGTGCCTTTTCTCTTCCTGATCGCTGCTCTATATGTGGAGATGCCTATGGGAAATTGAGCTCCCTCAATGGAAAAGGAAGACCATTCTGTAGTGTCATGATGCAGTTGTGGCTTGTTACATATATATATGTAGCAATTCTTTCTCCTTTTCATTAGAAAAAAATAAACTTAAAATGACACCTCTGTCTTAGCTTACACCTCCATATAAATCATGGTCAAAATAATAATTTAGAATAATCAGTAAGTTGACACTGACATCTGTGGTTACCCACGTTTATTAAATATATTATTTTATATATACGTAAGCCGACTAATATAAATTAGATCAGAAAGGATTATAAGGATATCTCTTAACAAGCATTTAATACAGATATTTATATCCAAGGCTTCAACCTAAGATCACTAGTCATGCTATCTAGTATCGACACTGATTGGTAGGAATGTACTTTCTTCAAACTCACTTTGCAATCATAGAAGAGTCATGCAATCTTATCAATTGAGAGCAAACGTTCAACTAAAAAAAGCATTTTGCAGACAGTTAATCATGAACAACGAGTCGAAAAATTAAATAGAAGGCATTTATATATATATAATAATAACTGGATATCGTGTTTTCACATGAAGCAGGGTAATTAAAGACTAGTGGGATGAAAAAAGTTGCAAGTTGTGTAGTGCTGAGGTAGGTGTGTTGGAAGTGAAAAGAGCTGAGAAACATTGGACGGGAGGCAAGTGTGACAACTAGAAGGATGAGCAAGATTCAATGCCTGTAGTATATTGTCTGTAATTAGTAGTTAACATTATTGACGCTCCTTAGCTTTCCCATGAGTTGGATTATCATATATATATCGTCCCACTACTGTCTTCTTCCATTTGAATTTAGAAACTCTCGAGGACGATCCTAGCTTCGTACTCTTGCAACTCACAGCAAAGATGTTGACATGAATCTTGTTGTTTTATTCCCAGGTTTCAATGTAAATAACACACTCAACCTTCCAACCAGTAACTCTGGGGCTGTCTCCGTGAATTGAACCAGCATACACACGCACACCCTTGTCTTCCTCTGATATCATTAAGGTGGTCTCATTAACTGGCATGCACTTGCAGAAAATGTTGTTCATAAGCAGATAATGAACATGCCAACAAATTAAAACCCAGTCTCGCTCGCAGAATTTTTAAGGAAGAAATCTCAGTTGCTTATAACAATGAGAGCGACAAGTCAGGAATGGGAGGCGCTACGCCGCTACCTTGTAGGCCTTACCTTCTAATGGCGTGGGACTTCATTCCCTCTCTCTAAAAATTGGTTCGCTGATTATTGCTGACATGATTATACCCACACGAGTAGTATCCCCCCCCCCCCCCAAAAGTTCTGCTAATTGTTATTGCTGACATAATAATTAGCAGAACTTTAAAATTAACTTTTTCTTTCCGTTCTTTCTTTTAATTAAAAGAATACTAGTTCTACCACTAATGAATATTATGTCTAATGAAACTCATGTAGCAAATCAAGATTCATAACTTAGTTAATGAAGGGTTAATTTTTCATAACGTGACAAATCAAGGTCCAAAACTTTACTACTATTAGTAGAGATATTTATATTTAGTATCTCATTATATCTCAAACATGAACCAGTGCGAAACCGGAGGGGGGGGGGGAAGAGTTTAGTTTGTCGGAGAATGCAACAAAAGAGACGTCCAAACAAGATTCTGGGAAAAAAAACAAATAGAAACAGAAAGGGTAAGGACGCGAAAATGTGAGTCAGCAATGGATGTGCCCTGGTTCACTCGAAAACATGACTTGGTAAAGACCCATCAAGGGCAGTTTTCTATCTCAAATATGTTTTGCAATGGAGAAAAATGCAGTTGGGCATCTATTATTTCCTTGTGAAATGTGAATCCACCAATGAGAAATATACACGTACAACGAGCAAGTTACCAAATTAATGTACGATTTTCTTCTGTGTCTGGGTTAAACACGTGAAAACAACTCAGATCAAATCCATCAGGACAAAATGTTCTAATTTGAAACCGACCATGCGTGCATGATATGAGAGGACCTTCTGCAATTTGCTACCCAGTTGCATATTCTTGCTTAGACACAAGGTTTGGCATTCTGGTAAATACCTCTAAACAAGCCTTCTTGCGTATTAATTGGTGTTTCGTTGCTTCCTGCAAACACTTTAGCAGAATTAATTCATGCTTTTGAGATATCTTGTGATAGCAATCGGACACAGTAATTGATATCCATTTTCCTGACGTTCAAACCCAAACTACTAAGCAACTCTCTTCATAAAAACTCAGATCCCTCCTTCAGAATCAAATAAACAAGATCGCACAACTTTGATTACAAGATGGTTCTGGAAGAAAGCTTGCAAGAGATGTTGTCGTTGATCGTGTCGAATTCCCGACTTGGAAATCCCAAGACACAATAAATCTTTTGGATTACATTATTTATAAATTTTAAATAGTATTTTTGCCGTGCTTTTTATAATTTTTTGGAACTTGTCTCCCTAGTCCCTGCAGTTGTAATAGACTCCATGCAGTTTTGTTTTGTTTTCCTTTTGATATTTCTTCATGCATTTTAAAATATAGTCTGAACTGTCAGAAATGAAAAATATAATTTTCGGAAAACTTCTAAATTATTAGTTCAAAAATAAAAATACATACTTAACAAGTTGACCCAACTTCCAATGTTAATCGCTTGGAATTGAAAAAATAAAAAAAAAAACAAAAATATGTAAACTTGACTGGCTCGGGTGCCGCTCCTGAATCTACAGCAATGTTTAAAAATAATGTCATTTTAAGAAAGTTTTACCGTCTTTTAACAGGTTTCTTGTTTCTATCTAATATATGTGAACATTTAACAAAATGAAATTTATTATTAAAACAAACTCAATTTCTTGAAAAATATAGCTCTTTGTATATAAGTTAGATTGTTTAAAATTCCCCTCTCCTTTTCTTCAGGCACGTGCGCATAGCATTTTTTCACAGTATTTCCTAGCAAGGTTGTTAAATTTACAAGTGTAAGTAAATTCATGATGGGAATTAAAAATATTCAAAGGATGGTATGAGATCATGACACTCCAATTCTAAAAAATGACTAGAATTAAATTTTAGTCTTGTATCCCATCTCATTAAGAATCAGGACAAGACCAAAATGAGATTGGGACATCCTAATAAAGCAGACAATATAAAAAAAAGTTTTGAATAATAATATTCATTAAAATATTAAATATCATAACTTATTAAGTTTAAAATCAAAACAACATGGTACATAAATTAAAATAATTTAAAATTAATTATTGAATTGTATTAATCATAAATATAAGTGTACATAACTTAAAGTCAATTATGTATGAGATATAATACATTATGACAGTAATTATAAATAAATTTTGTGTTACAAGAGTAGCAACAATAAACAAATCAGGCACATGTTATTTTTTCCCTTCTTTAGTAGAAATATTTGAAGTTATTACTCTTTTAAAAATAAAGCAAGAAATATAATGTAAACAAAAATTATTAAATATATAGATATAAGAATAAATTATATTAATATAATTAATATATTATATATAAAAATAAAGAGATTATCTTATACTTCTTGTTTCATGCAAGAAATATAATGTAAACAAAATTTATTAAATACATAGATATAAGAATAAATTATATTAATATAATTAATATACTATATATAAAAATAGAGAGATTATCTTATACTGCTTGTTTCATGTTATTAAAATTATCATTATCAAGAAATTTTATTTTTAAATAGGAATTGTAAATATTAAAATTATAATTAATATAATTAATACATTTAATATATATTTTAAAAATAAAAATTTTATATATATATATATATATATAATATTTAAGGCGGGAGGGGACACAATGTTATGAGAGAAATCCTGTCTCAGACCTCTTTTTGGTCTCATCCTGCTTGTTTCGGTGCTGGGGAATTAAATAATAAATATTAAATAGTTATTAAAAGTATGTGATTAAATAATTAAAACATAAAATATTATCATAATTTGATTTAAATATATTTTAAATATATATATTATTGAAATTAAATTCATCTACATTGATAGATTATCATATTCTATAGAAATTTTAAAATAGGACAATTTATTTTTTGTATTTTTATTTTCTTTTTTCTTAATATTATTTTTTGCTTTTTAAGTTTTATTTTTCTTTAAATTGAGTCTTATCGTTTCTATAAACTGAGTTTTACATACCATAAACTCAACTCACTCAACTAGATAAAAAATAGATAAGTTGAGGATATTTAATTGAATTACTTACGAGTTTAATTGAATTTAAATTTATTTTGGGTATATGATTAAGTTGACATGATCTTATGAGCTAAAAACATAAAAATAATAAATTTAAAAAGTTAACTTATGAATTTATTTAATTTTGTATCTAATTTAAATTTATGAATGAATTTATATGATTTTATAAGTTAAAAATATAAAAAAATAAATTCTTTGACTTTAGCAACAATTCTTTTGTCCTAAAAAAAATTACAACAGTGCTTCTCAGACAAACCATGGGCCTTGAATCCAGAAAACGCTGAAAACTGGCCCAACATAGCATAGATACTCGTGATGGGCCACACTCATTTGCTTTAAAAATCTCCCCGTCGAGGCAACTTGCCGGCAATATTTTGACACGACGTCGTTGGCTGACGAGGCTCCCATGCTATTCGGGGATCCACATCTCTATTGTACGCAAAGCAATTCTTTTTTATTTTTCTTTCCCCTCGTTTTACTTCCTTCTTATATCCTTTTTATTTTTTTTTTACCAGTATTTCCCCCCTCTGTCTACAATTTTACATCATATATTCATATTATCATATAGAATAAAATATGGTGACTTTTTTATTTTGCTAAAATTATACAGATTTTTTTATTTTCAAAACTTATACTTTGATCCAATTTTTAACATTGTTAAAAATATTTCATTAAAAAATTTTAATTTTTTATTTGTAATAATGGCGAAAATTTTAAAATTATTATTTTTTCCTCATAATCTAATTGTCTACTCTATCTCCTAATTTAAAAAAATTTAAATAATTAAATATATAGATATTTAAATAAATAATTTAAAATTTTGTGTTAAAATTAATAAAATTTTAAAAAAAATACATATAGATTACATCGTGTGATTTATTATATGTTATCCTTATTTCATTAAATTTTTTAAACTGCATGTTTGAAACATTATTTTTGTTAGTATATGCATTTAAATTTTAAAAAATAAGGTTAAAGTTTAATTTTATCTTTATATTTATTTTTTAAAACTGTTGGGTACCCTATATTTTAAATGGAGCAAATTTCTCCCTAAAGTATTTTTCTGATGTCCAAAAACACCCTTCTATTAGGAGGCTATTAAGTTTTTTGTCTTCTACTAACGTAGATATGTGTGGGTCGTAAGCCTCACGCATAGTGATAGATAAGACTTTGATCATGTCATTTGATATTCATTTGCTCTTGAATTTTTTTTTTAAAAATGCTGGACACCTTAAAATCTTTTTCTATGCACACTAGATACCTTAAAGTCTCATTAAAATAACATTTAATAAATAGTACCAAAATATTAAATATTTTTATATTTAACAATTTAAATATTATGTTTATAAATATTCATTAAAAATTTATAAATTACTTTTTAAATATTAACAACTCAAACTAAAATTTTATAAATTTATAGATGACTTTTTATTTTTTAGATATTAGTCTTCGAACTTCTCTCTTAAATAATACCTAAATCGTCACATCTTTTGTGCATGTTAAAACTTATTTATATTTTTAATATTAGTTAAGTTTCTTAAATTTTTAGGTCACTTTCTATAATTTTTTTGGTCAATTAATGATCTTTCTCTAAAATATTACACTACCCAAATTTAATACTCCTCATACATTATAGTGTCAGGAGTAAAATTAGAAACATAACAAATCAAGACTAACAATATGCGAACAAAAATATTAATTTGGAAGATATAACTTGTTCCATTAATGTACTATAAAAAATTACTTAACAAGAGAAAAATGGAGATATGAGAAGAAAAAAATTCCTTTGTTAATCTAAAAGTTCATTCCCTTCATTTTTAGTACAAATTGCAAAATATAAAAAAATATTAAAATATTAAATTAGGTGGTGTAATTTTTAAATAAAATACTTAATATTTTAATAATATTTTTTAATTTTATTTTAACAATACTTCAAGGTGCTTGGTGCTCCTAGAAAAATATTTTAGGGTATTCATCGCTCATAGAAAAGGGATTCAGGAGTAGATTAATACTAAATGACATGATTAAAGTCTTATATGTTATTGTGTGTAGTCCTATGCATGTGTCATGTCAGCAAAAAGTAGAGAACTTAACAATTAACTAATAGAAGAATTTTTTGCTCCTCAAAAAAATAATTCAGAAGTAAAATTATCCCACTTAAAAGTACAAAATGCCCAGAGCTCCTAAAAAATAAGTACAAAGTCAAAATTAGACTTTAACCCTAAAATATATTACCAAAGAAATATGTTTATATAATTAAAAATTTAAAATATAATTAAAAATAAAAAAGGAACAATTATGTTGAAATCTCATATAAAAAAATTAATTACTATGAAGTCCGTTAACAACTGATATAAGGTAATTTATAACTATTTATCTTGTAAATCACCTTATATCAGGTTTTAAGAGATTTTAAAATAATTAATTTTTTATGTGGGATCTGTATATAATTTTTTCAACAAAAAAATATAAGCATTAATTTTTTTGGGTAATTTGAATAATTTTTAGACCACTTTTATATTTAAAAAATGAGTGTTTTGGCTCAACACATATGACTTAACAGTCAATTAATGATTGAGTAGATGAAAAAAAAATTAAAAATAGAGAGAATATTTGTATTTTATAACTATTTATATCACAAGTGGTTCATATATATTTCAGAAATAAAAAAAATATTTGTAATTTCTTTAAAAAAATAGAGCACATCATATGTCACATTTATCATGTGAGCTGACCTCAGTTTTTTTCCCCCTCCCTCGTCTCCTTGACAGTACATTGTCGATGCACGATTATCTAGTGACCAAAATATTTTTTCCGTTTTTACTCTTAAAAAATATAATTATTTGAGGGGCCACGCAACCCATGTCAATGTTGAATTTGAATTCAGATCGTTTCAAGAGGAGGTGGTATAGCTCACTGGATAACTAACCATTCACACACGGTTGGTTCCTTAAAAAAATCTGTGATCCATAGCGATATGCACTTTCTGTCCCGAAGCTGCCTGCGATGCCGTTTATGGCATTCAAACCATGCTCACAACAAAAGTAAAATCATACCCAACAGCTTCTTCTCTCTCGATCGACCATCAACAAAACAAATTAACACAACAAATAAATGAATGAATCAAATTTGTGGTTTGGAAACGATAATGAAAAGCCATTCTCAAGTAAGCACACCACGTTGTCACTAGTGAAGCAGAGCAGAGCATGACAAGAGCCTCCGTAAGAGGGTGAAGAAAGAGATTGCCTTGAGTTTCCTCCAAACCAAGCACTTCCTCCTCCTAAACCGAATCTTTCTCTGCTTCTTCTTCTTCTTCTTCATCACGTAACACAGACTTCGCTTCACTCTCTGAAAACACGAGTGAGTCTTCTCAACAATACTCTGTTTCCTGGAAAACCTGTAGCTCCTCAGGAACATCTGTCTGCAGGAGATGCTGTCCACCATGGCGGCGTTCCCAGTTCTCTTGTTGGAGCTCACACATCTTATGAACTCTGCATCAGATTCTGGCCACTTGTACAGATTCATGTACGTGGCCCTCATCATATTCATGGGCACTCCTTCCTCCCCTTGGTTCATCCAGTTCGATCTCCAGACAGAGTTCATCTTTTTTTCTCTTTCGCAAAATGTTGTTGACGAGGAATGAGAATCTGCGTCGCTGATTTTATAATGAGTCTTCACCACGTGCGATTCTGTTAATTTTTGTGTTGTTAGGCAGGAGTTAGATGGCCTAAAGAGATGAGGACTCCAAACAAATGGTGGCTCATATGCCAAAACCCATTGTGCGCATATTCTACACATTAAATATTGGTCCGAGGTTGGCATTTCTTTTTATTTGTTAATTTTCATCTATGCATGTTCCACGGACTAATAACCTTAACGGGAGGAATTGAAAGGGACAGAGTTTGGGAAGGCTTGCTCATCACACATTATCATCAAGCAAACTCCTAATACTAGATATGGCTTAAAATTAAGTATGAGTTCTCATTGGCTGCTAAGTCTGGTTTATTATTTCACACTCTTAGCTTAAATCATTACGATAACGAAAATTTCGTTTGATACGTTTATCCTTCTCTTTCACTAAAACGTTCGATTAAAATACAATAAGTATTTATTTTACAATTATATGTGTATAATTTGATGAACAATTATACATTTATCATATTTTGATCAAAATATAGATAACGAATATATATAAAGCTTCAAAGTTGTTACAATGCTATTAAATAATCAAGGTCATTTAATTGTTCCCACTTGATCGAAAAGTTGTTGTCATCTCCTCCACCAAGCTTTGCTTCCGTTATCTTACCGTCCCCCCTCCTCTTGGCCACCATTCTGTTATCTTATTCGTTCTTGCAATTTGCAAACAGTCAAATATTGTTTAATGTAAAGGACTTCTATTAACAAGTGATCTGACGGCCTCTAAAGAAACATGCATGTTGTGTTTTAAAAAATTGAAAAGCAAATTAGTAGCTAAGGACATGAGACCGACTTATTTATTTATTATGTTTTTGGAGATAAGTTTTGTCTCTTGTACGTCATATGTTAATTAGATCTTCTCGAATTTTTTTATTTTTTAAAAAAATTCTAAAGTACAGGGTTGCCATAATTAGGAGTTCATGCATCTTGGCTAAACTCCCTCGTACATTTTTCTGCGACGCTGGCCAGAAGGTGTTCATGGCAAAACCTGTTATTCTTTAGAAAGAATAACTTATAATCTTGTACGCTTGTTATTATATTCTAATTGGCAGATTAATTATTTAATTATCTACTGTGTTATTTGGGGCGGCTCAATATTCTGATCTTATAATCTAATCTGTGTCATATGTAATGTGTTTGTTTCTGCTGACCTCATGCCTTGTGTTTTTAACGTTTTCATTATATTGGGGCAAAAAGCTTGGGTTTTGACTTCTGATCGATAATTGGAAGATGATAATTGCAATCTCGCCATTAGGATGGTGTGATTAGTAAGAAGGTCATAAATTTTTTTTATTAATGTTATTATTAATTAGACTTATCGAAGACGCATGTACATATATTTTTTATCTTTAAATAATACCATAATTGAAGAAACAGAAAATTAAACTATAAATTAAGTCATAGAGAACTACTTGTGCACATTGTTAGGTGTTAAAATCATATATATTGTTGGAAGAATCACATCCAGTCTCTTCTCAAGAGAATTAATCATATATAAGGATCAACAATAAATCTCATTTAAAAAAAAATAAGTCATATTCTCATTTTAACAACAATCTATTTTACATTGATCCTTTATCTGTGATTAATTATCTTGAATGGGGTTGGATGTGAGTTTCCTTATATTGTTTGTTTACTCACCATCAAAATAAGTTTAGTTAGTTTTTTCAAAAAAATTTTGGGTATTCTTAGTAAGTGTGAGAGAAGGAAATTTTATACATATACAAAAAATATATTAGAGTAATACCTACTATAATACATAAAAAAAGATCCCACATGCATACTCTTAATTTTCTGAAATATTTAAATGTGCTCATTGGGTATATTTGAAAGCATCATCTGCATTGGAGCGGCCTGCATATAAAAAGGCAAGGTAGAGGCATAAATGAAGATGGTGACTGCATAAATAGTGGTGATGACTACATAAATGATGGAGGTGGCAGTATGAAAAGTGGCGACAGTGGCAACAACATGATAGGTGAGGGGATGGTTAAGGTCATTGTTAGCAAGAGAATCAATGGTGCCGGGAAAAGTAAAGGGTGTGATGAATGGGAGGGTGAAGGAGAGTGGTCAGATAGTTTTAGAGTGGGTGCCAGTGTTCACTATCATTTGAGTTGGTTTGTAGTCTACAAATATTGACACAATAATTAAACAATTATTACTGCAACTAAATATTAAATAACAATGAATATATATAACTAATAATTACAAAAGAAAATAAATATTAGTTGAGTAAATAAAAGAAATTTAAGGAGGCAATATATGATTTAAATAACTATAGCTAATACTGAAATATGAATATTAATGTGCACGCACATATAAATATCTAACAATTATAGAAGAAAATAAATATTAATTATTGATTCAAGGGAATAACTAATAGGAATAAATTCAAGCAAACAGTATGTAGAATAATAAGCAAACCACTAATAACAATGTGTATTTATACATATATAATTAATAATTATAGAAAGAAATAAATATGAATTATTATGCCAACTGAATAAATATATAATTATTAAAAGAAAGAATAAAGCTAACCATCGATAATAAATATAGAAAGTATAATTACAACTAAAATCCCTAACATGTGAATGGGATGTGTGTGTAATTTGTCCTTCTCTCTCATACCTCTTGTCTCTTACATCACGTGAAGGGGGAACAAAGAAATTATATTTATTCAATTTAAGGATGTGTACGGAAGTGTGAATATAATACATATGAAAGTATCAAAATAACCAATAACAGATATTTAAGAGAATTTTAATAGAACTAAATAATGATATTAGTAAAAAAAACATATTAACTCAATTTAATTAAAAAGTATGGAAAATATTTAAGAAAATATCGTATTATATCTTATTTTATTTTTCAAGTTTCTCTCTAGATCTATTTATTTTACTTTCAATCTCATTTTTTTCCCCTTTCTCATCAAAAGGGTCCCCCTAGCTATTTACAGATGACAAAGTTGAGAATAAGTGCTGGGGAAGCTCCTAACATCATTTTCCCACTGTGGTGTTATTTGAATCAACCAACTCATCCCGAATCATGATTTTTGTTTATTTTATTTTTAATGACCGTTCTTCCTTATCACATGACAGGTGGCTTCTCCCGTTTGTTTGTTTGTTTTTTTTAAGCTTTAACTCTCTTCCTCAGTTTCATTTGTAGCCTTAGGTTAGTAAAACAAAATAAAAATTAGCTAAGTACATCTTTAATAGAAAGACCAAAGTCTGAGACTGTACACATCATCATCAATTACTTACATATTTTCCCCCTTTCGCCACGTGATATTTATATGCATATTACATCCCATCATCTCATCCCCCCTTTCCACGTTATGTATCTTCGTAGTATATTTTTTAATTTACCTATAAACTAGAGAAATGGGAATCACAAAAATAAAATAGAAACTAAATACTTAGTATCTAGGTGTTAAATTATTTATTTTTATTATCACTACTATTTATCATACATTATATGGATTTATATAATCTTTATTTTTTATAATTCTATTTTTATATATTATTTATGTAGAACAAAAATGTGATTATTGTTTGAATATATTTATATTTTATTATAATTATTGTTTTCGGAGGTCATGCAACAATTTTGGTACCACCGTTGCTGCTGCGGGCGAAGGCAGAACTACATACAATTACATAAGGCCAGGCTTTTTGCACATATTATAATCGGAGCTCATGAGGTAGACGTGTCAACATTTTCAATTGCGACATGCTGAGTTTGAAGCAGAAAATTTGTCAAGTTAATATGCTGAGGTTAACGGCTCATGGTAAGGATCATTTTTTTTTTTTTTGGCCATCATGGTAAGGATCATAATCTTGCAGTATGAGCAGGGATTAATTCTTCAAGTTTAGCCTTGGCCATGCACAGTGCTCTGAAGCTGAGATAGCAGCGATCAGGATAGTTTGTAAGCATCATGGTTTTCCAAAGATTCAACTCTGTACCGCCTCTACAGAAGTTTTCAAGTCTCATAATGATAGAGATGGTGGCCCAAATCATCCCGAGTTGGATCACTTATTTGTGATGACTGGGATTGATGCTCCTGAATTGGCACAGCCAATGAACCAACCCACTGGGACATTTGGTTGTCCAAGCTTTGTTGCTAACTGAGCCCGTAATTTCAGAGCACCCAGAACCTGGAGAGGCATCAGATGGCTTCTTGTTTTCCCCTGTTTGAGAATCTTCTCTGGTGATACTGATACGAGTATGAGTCAATATAATTCCATGATGATTCAACAGAGAAATTTGCGGGACATGATCTCTTTTGTTTGCATCAGTTGATTTTCTAGAATCTGGTAGTTTCACTCTGATATCTTAAGTAGATGCCAACAGCTCCGATTGTTTGCAGGTGGATGACAGCAACACTTATTGACTTCTATATCAATGTTGTGGCTCTAGCAGTATGTCTCTATTACTTTGTCTTAGCTTCTGTAAATTATATGAAAGTACATTATGGTCATTAACTTGGAATATCAAGGTGCAAAGAAGCATAGTAAATCGTTTCTTTTTCTCACATTTTATAAAAAGTAGTTTTCAATTGCTTTTGCAACGACTGCATCAGGCAGCCTTGAAGGACTGATACCTGTCCAGCTTCTGTGGGTGAATCTTGTCACCGAGGGACTGAAACAGAGTCTGCTCTGTTGTTACTCTGCACAGTGGTTTCATCATATGGTATGCACACGGTTCCTTCTTCCTCGCTAGGGATGGCCACACTCGGTCACTTGCTCCCAACTGCCAACTGGCCAGTGCCCTCCACGGCTGGGCCAGAAGACTGAAGCAAGAATCAGAGTCAACCAGATCTTATAATTTGAGAGTTCGATCATGCACTGAAGCAGTGCCATCAACTTATTTGTTTGTACTGTTTTAAGCATGTCTGTTGGCGCCCACGTGGACATTCTGGTGAGTAGCAATTGCTGGCTCCGATAAATGTCAGGGGAAATAACGGTCAAGACTGAGGAGTGTGTTATTAGGACTGGGAATACGAGCCATGCGTGACCAACCGCCTGATTAACCCTGTTTCTTTCAGAGATCATGTTTGAAAAATTGAGAATTTTAATGTAATTGGACTTTTAAATCTTATAATTTGCACTTAAAAAATGAAATACTTTTCAATTTTTAAATTTAATTTAAATTTTAGAATATTTATTTATACTTTAAAAAATTTATTATTTATTTTTATTTTTTTGAATATTATAATTTGTATTTTACGAAAAGAATATATGATGTTACAATGTAAAAATTTAACATTTAAAAGTTTTAAAAATATAAATATAATTACTTAAATATCCTTTGCCTCAAAGGTAATATCCCAACGTTCCCTCTTGAAAATTTGAAATCAAGTTACAAATTATCTCTTAATAATTAATAATGATAAATTTAAAACATTATCATCAAGTTGCTAGAATTCACAGATAACACTATAAGACAATTTTTATCTTAAAATTAATAAGTCCAGGTATTATAAGTACTTTCATGACTTTACACAAATCCCTGTCACGACATATAAATGAATTTAATATTATATTTTAACTCAAAACTCTAAAATATTATAAGGTTATATACATGTATCATTTTATTTATATTTTTTCATCTCAACTTAACTCTATCTAAAACTTCTCTTTCACACGTCAAGCCCAAGTGAAGTTTTCCCATATTTGACATCCTAACAAAATACATACAAAAGTGACAAATTTGGACCAATATTTTGAAACCCAAGTCGGACATCAAATTGAAAAGAATAATAGGTCACGGTTTTCATAATTCAACCGGTTAGACCAGCAATTGAATTGGTGATATAAAAATTAAATAAAAAATAATATTTTTATGCACAAATATATAAACAAAACATTAATTTATCGATGGTACTTGGGATCTCAACTCCAAAGACTAGATGTCTTAATTGTTGGAGTTGGAGGCAAAGGCATGTCGGCACAAGCTTGCAATCTCGAACGAAAATGCTAGAGTTGGAGGCACGCCGTCATATCACGACTCACAAGCTTCCAATCTCAATGCCAAAGGCTGGATCGTTAAAGTTAGAGATAGAGGTTGGAGAAGTTAGAGATTGAGCCTAAGGTATAGAGAAGAGATTAGAGAATAGAAAAAAGAAGATAAGAGAGAATTAGTGATTAGAAAAAGAAATCGTAAATTTGAGCGACTTAGTTTAATTTTTGTTTGGGCATTGACCCAAGTTGACCCAATCTAATTTTCAAGTCAAAGCTAATTCCTTCAAAACCAACTGATTCAAATTAAATGTCAGTTTGGTTTAACTAATTAGACCAAATTGTTTTGTTCAGCAGGTAGCGGTCGGATTGATTAGACCGACCGGTTTTAACAACACTGATTTAGATTCATGCAAAGCCACCATACTGATGTTCCCAGAAGATGAACGGCATTATTACTGGTAAGGGGAAAAAATGATACTAGGAGATTGAGACTGGAAACTGGCAATCTTTAGACTGAATGAAATATTTCACGAGTAGCTTCGTTTATACTTCTCTTCTGTCTACTCGTCTGTCCGGGGGTTTATTTTGGCCACGTAATCCTGTCCAATGGTTTATTTAACATTTTTGTAATAGCGCTATTAATTATAATCTCTTGTTGGATTCGCTTGGTTTAGATCCGGCCGAATTAACCTCGGCAAGAAACCTTGTTGTAGAATAAAAAGTAGAAATAGAGCAGTTTGTCATCAGCTGCTTGTTTTCTCTTGTCTTGACAAAAACCAATTAGATGGTAGATATAACGTCCGCACCTAAACTGATTGCTAATATTGATCAGAGAACTTGCATCCAATCAGAGCGGGTCGTGTCAGATTGATTTCGTGTGGGAACGAAGACGTGCCGATCGTATATTAGGATTTGGTGTGTTGGTGACCTCTTCTTAATTTGCATTGAATAACGATGGGTCTTGTAGTCCCCACATGTCCGTTTACCAATCATCAAACCATTTATTATTTTTACTTATTTTCAATTGACCCAACGTAGTTAGTGTTCAGACACACTTGATTGTAAGATTGAAATTTGATGTGACCAACAAATGAGAGACCCTTCTGATATATTTTATTAATTTCGTTTGATCATCTCCTCTATCTGCAGTTTTCTTCTTGGTTTAAACTTTAATTTCATTACTTCACGCCTCTAGAACCAAAACATGCCGTATCCAATTAGCGATCTTGGTGACACCCAAAAGAAATGTGACACCTTATACTAAGCTGCCTCAAAATACTCACTGTTACTAAATCGTACGGAGGACCAAGGTTAATGAAGATTCATGTAAAAATCGCCGTAATATGAAAACTTATGTAATTTTATCTTTGTTTAATTAAAACTGGTGAGCTCATCTCACAGGATAAAAGAAATTAATGGGCTTTGTCGGATATTAATACTGTGGATATACAAGAACTAGATGATGAAAATATTTAGGAGGAAGGACCATGTCCTGAAGATCTTTAAGAGTATATTGCATAATTCCAATTGAGCTATAAAAATCATCATTAATACAGATTCTTAAAGATATGTTGAAACTCAACTTCAAGTTGTGACATCTTCATGATTTTTTAAATCTTGGTCCTTACGCACAAATTTTCGTATATGCTACTATCTATTCTAGTGGTACGCTTAATGTTTTCTTAAAAAATTATGTATCGTTACATTTTGTAAACTGTAGGAGGCCTGCAGGGCAATAAAATTCAACAAAATGGAATGTTTTATTGAATTCAATCCTCTCTGTAGCAGCATCTTGTACGCCCTGCAATCTAATGGTCCGGAAAGTCAAAGCCACGTTGTCAAATAACTACGTAGATGACGCACGGCCTTTTCATTAATCAAAAGGTTTGGCTTGTGTAAAAAAGTTAAATACGTATGCAATTAAAAAAAAAAATAGTAGTAAAATGGTGGTGAGGCCCTCGACATCATCTGGCTTCCTAGCCGTTTCCATTTTACTACAATATTCCATTATTCATACATTTATTTTATTTTTATATATTTTTACTTACTGTAAAATATATATTTGTCTTCATTTGACGTGACTTTTCCATGATGCACTGGATGACTCTTGCCTTTGCCTTGCGCCTTTAAATTATGAACGAAAATTTCCAGTTGGTATAAAGGGCAAAAAAATCCTCCCACGAGTTCACCGCCTGTTGTTGCATTTTAAACGTCAAGGAGATTTTGTATTCATATTTATTTAGTGGACGTCTCCCAATCCTTAGATTAATCAAAGAGCCACTATTTATACTTTTATGCATTTTAAATGATTTCATAGCTTAGTTTTTCTGGACCATTAGACTACACCCACGGATACTATTGCTGCTGAAGATCAATGATTGGCAGATATTTTTCAGGAGATGACCCGAATCCTTTGCATGTACCTGTACTCACCTACTCTTGACTCCTCAATTCACCCATTTCCATCCTTCTCTATATAATCACCAAACTGTCATTACTCCTGCGATCTACCCTCCCTCACCAATGTCTAGCTTACCTCCGCCGCAAACTTTGTCGTCAGCGGTGCCCACTAGCTCCCCCACCGATGACAGAAGTGCCTTCTTCAATCAATCCATGGAGCTTGTCCAAGTTCCGTCTCAAAGGTCAACCAGAGCCCATGTCTCTCGTAGCCCCTCCCTCGCCGACCTCCTTAAACGTGTAGTCGGAGATGCTCAAAATGATGTCGCCTCTCAGCCCCACCACATCCTCGACCTCGTTCCCCCTCCTCCTTCTCCCTCTTGCTCTTTTGTCCTTTCCTTCACCAACTTGACTTACAGCATCAAAGTCAATCGTAAAATAAGCCTCTCCTCTTGTTTCTCTCGAAAACATGTGGATTTGAATTCCCCGCTTCATAGTGTGACCGAATCTGAATCGTCAAAGGCTAACGCTGTAAAGGTTTTGCTCAATAATATTTCCGGCGAGGCCCGGGATGGAGAAATCATGGCCGTTCTAGGTGCCAGTGGGTCTGGAAAATCAACACTGATCGATGCCCTCGCCAATAGAATCTCCAAAGAGAGCTTGAAAGGAACAATCATGTTAAATGGTGAAGCTTTGGATTCCAGTCTTCTCAAAGTGATTTCAGCTTATGTCATGCAGGACGACCTTCTCTTTCCCATGCTAACTGTGGAAGAGACTCTCATGTTTTCCGCCGAGTTTCGGCTTCCTCGCTCCCTCTCTAAGTCTAAGAAAAAGGCTAGAGTCCAAGCTCTCATCGACCAATTGGGCCTCCGTAATGCCTCCAATACAGTCATCGGCGACGAAGGCCATCGTGGGGTCTCCGGAGGTGAGCGACGTCGTGTCTCTATCGGAATTGATATCATTCACGACCCGATTGTCTTGTTCCTTGATGAACCCACTTCAGGACTTGACTCCACCAGTGCATACATGGTCGTCAAGGTGTTACAGCGAATAGCCCAAAGCGGAAGCGTCGTCATCCTGTCCATACATCAACCAAGTTACAGAATCATCGGATTATTAGACCGGTTGATTTTCCTCTCACAAGGCCAAACCGTCTATAGCGGCTCACCGGCGAATCTACCACCCTTTTTCTCGGAGTTTGGACACCCGATCCCCGACAATGAGAACCGCACCGAGTTCACCCTCGACCTTATTCGTGAGCTCGAACAAAACCCTGGTGGGACGAAGGGCCTAGTAGAATTCAACAAGTCTTGGCAATTGAATCACTTGAAAAGCAAGCCCAACGACGATGATAATCCCCTTAACGGACAAAAGGTTTCACTCAAAGATGCCATCGGTACAAGCATTTCTCGAGGCAAGTTGGTCTCCGGGGTGCCAAATAATTCGAATCTCACAATATCTTCGTCTGTTCCAACCTTTGCAAACCCGTTTTGGATCGAGATGGTTGTAATAGCAAAACGATCGCTGATCAATTCTCGAAGGATGCCTGAATTATTTGGCATACGAATTGGTGCAGTTCTGGTAACCGGAATCATCTTGGCCACTATTTTCTGGCATCTTGATAGTTCTCCGAAAGGTGCTCAAGAGCGATTAGGGTTCTTCGCCTTCGCCATATCCACCACCTTCTACACTTGCGCGGAAGCCATGCCTGTCTTCCTCCAAGAGCGATATATCTTCATGAGAGAAACCGCATACAATGCCTACCGTCGATCCTCCTACGTTCTGGCCAATTCAATCATCTCAGTACCATCCTTAATATTCCTTTCCTTAGCATTTGCTGTGACGACGTTCTGGGCGGTGGGTTTAGCCGGCGGCGCATCCGGGTTCTTGTTCTACTTGTTGATAATCTTAGCATCTTTCTGGACAGGAAACTCCTTCGTGACGTTTCTTTCAGGAGTGGTTTCCCAAGTGATGTTGGGCTTCACCGTGGTGGTTGCTATTATAGCTTACTTCGTACTGTTCAGTGGGTTCTTCATAAGCAGAGACAGGATTCCTGCGTATTGGATATGGTTTCACTATATTTCACTGGTGAAGTACCCATACGAGGCTGTTTTGCAAAACGAGTTCGGTATTCAGCCTCCAAGGTGCTTTGTGAGAGGGACTCAGATGTTTGACACGACGCCGTTAGGGGAGCTACCGGAAACACTGAAGTTGGAATTGCTTAAGAGTATGGGCAAGACGCTGGGTATGAACATCACAAGTTCTACATGCGTGACCACAGGAATGGATATATTAAAGCAACAGGGGATTACGGACCTAAGCAAGTGGAATTGCCTGTGGATAACCATCGCATGGGGACTCTTCTTTAGATTTTTGTTTTATTTGGCTTTGATGTTTGGGAGCAAGAATAAGAGGACCTAATAATCATAACTTCATAGAGTGCAATGTATGGAGTGGGGATTTTTTTTCCATATAGTCATATATGACAAACGAAAACTACAGTGGTTAAAAGATTGATTATTTGAGGTTTTGGACACTTAAGTTATGTTTAAAGTGTACAAATAGGGGAATTTGCAAATGGATGTCCAACTTCTCAGTGGAGCATGATTTTAAAATGAAACTCATTCTATTAGTTATAGTATGCACACAGTTCCTTCTTCCTCACTAGGGATGGCCATACTCGGTTACTTGCTCCCAACTGCCAACTGGTCAATGCCCTTCACGGCCGGACGAGAAGACTAAAGCAAGAATCAGAGTCAGCCAGATAGTATAATTTGAGAGTTCGATCATCCATTGAAGCAGTGGCATCAACTTTGTCCGTACTATTTTAAGCATGTCAGTTGGAGCCCGTGTGGACATTATGATGGGCAGCAATTGCTGGCTTCGATAAATGCGAGGAGAAATAATAGTCAAAGACTGAGAAGTGTATTATTAGAATTGGAAATACAAGCCATGCTTACTAACCACCGTTTAAGGTTGTTTTTTTTTCAGAGATCACATTTGAAAAATTGAAAATTTTAGTGTAACTAGACTTTTAAGTGTTATAAAAATGAGCTTGGGCAACTTGTTTTGAAATTATTTATTTTGCACTTAAAAAATAAAATACTTTTCAATTTATAAATTAAATTTAGATTTTAGAATATATATTTATGCTTTAAAATTCAATTTTTATTATTTATTTTTAATTTTTAAATATCATAATTTGTAATTTAGGAAAAAATATAATATTATAATGTAAAATTTTAATTTTTTAAAAATTTAAAAAATCTAATATATAATTCCTTAAATACTCTTAGCCTCAGAGGTAATTCCCAACGTTTCCTCTTAAAAATTTGAAATCAAGTTACAAATTATCTCTTAATAATGATAAATTTAAGTCATTACCCTCAAGCTGCTAGAATTCATAGATAACACTACAAGGATTTTTTCATCTTAAAGTTAATAAGTCACGACATGTAGATGGATTCGATATTATATTTCAACTCAAAACTCTAAAACATTATAAGTTTATACGCGTGTCATTTTATTTATATTTCTCATTCTCAACTTCACTCTAGCTAAAACTTCTCTTTCACACATCAAGCCCAAGCGAATTTTACCCATATTTGACATCTAACAAAATGCATACAAAGATGACAAATTTGGACGCATGCAAAGCCACCATTCTGACGTTCCTAGAAGATGAACTGCATTATTACTGGTAAGGGAAAAAATGATACTAGGAGATCGAGAGTGGAAACCAGCAATCTTCAGACTAAATGAGATATCTCACGAGTAGCTTGATTTATACTTCTCTTCTGTCTACTCGTCTGTCCAGTGGTTTGTTTTGGCCACGCCTGTCTAATAGTCTATTTAACATTTTTGTAATAGCGCTATTAATTATAATCTCTTATGTTGGATTCGCTTGGTTAAGATCCGGCCGAATTAACCTCGGCAAGAAACCTTGTTGTAGAATAAAAAGTAGAAACAGAGCAGTTTCTCAGCCGCTTGTTTTCTCTTGTCTTGATAAAAACCAATTAGATGGTAGATATAACGTCCGCACCTAAACTGATTGCTAATATTGATCAGAAAATTTGCATCCAATCAGAGCGGGTCGTGTCAGATTGATTTCGTGTGGGAACGAAGACGTGCCGATCGTATATTAAGATTTAGGTGTGTTGGTGACCTCTTCTTAATTTGCATTGAATAACGATGGGTCTTGTAGTCCCCACATGTCCGTTTAACAATCATCAAACCATTAATTATTTTTACTTATTTTCCAATTGACCGAACGTAGTTTGTGTTCAGCCACGCTTGACTGTAAGATTGAAATTTGATGTAACCAACAAATGAGAGACCCTTCTGATATATTTTAATAATTTCGTTTGATCATCCCCTCTATCTGCAGTTTTCTCCTTGGTTTAAACTTTCATTTCATTGCTTCACGCCTTTAGAACCAAAACATGCTGTATCCAATTAGCGATTTTGGTGACACCCACAAGAAATGTGTCACCTTATACCAAGCTGCCTCAAAATACTCACTGTTACTAAATCATACGGAGGAACAACGTTAATGAAAATTCATGTAAAAATCGCCGTAATATGAATACTTCTGTAATTTTGTCTTTGTTTAATTAAAACTGGTGAACTCATCTCGCGGGATGAAAGAAACTCATGGCTTTGTCGGATATTAATATTGTGGATATATAAGAACTAGATGATGAAAACATTTAGGAGGAAGGATCATGTCTTGAAGATCTTTAAGAGTTTATTGCATATTTCCAATTGAGCTATAAATATCATCATTAATACAAATTCTTAAAGATATGTTGAAACTCAACTGCAAGTTGTGACATCTTCATTAGTTTTTAAATCTTGGTCCTTACGCACAAATTTTCATAAATACTAGCTACTATCTATACTATTGATACCCTTAATGTTTTCTTAAAAAAATCATGTGTCATTACACTTTGTAAACTGTACAGGCCTACAGGGCAATAAAATGCAGTTTTCCAATTAAAGTGTACAAATGGGCAGGTTTGTAAACAGGTGTCTAACTTTTAATTGAAATATGATTTTAAAAAGAAACTAGTGCCATTAGCTAAAATTTTGAAAGAGATTTCTATGAACATTTAGTTCACTTCAATTGAATGTCGGATGAAGTTTTGGAACACATCAGAAATCCACCCCAAATGCTATCATATTGATAGCATTTGTGCTATCATTTTGAGCAATGCGTCATGGCGTATAGTACAGGCACAAAGAAGAGGAGTCATAACACATGTGCACATGCCGTGATACACTCTCTTGATTTTTGAAAATTGATGTTTTTCAACTGGTTTTCAAGAGTTTTAACCCTAAGATGGTATCCCATGCTTCTATACTTATTCGTGCTTCGATTTGAACTTGTTAGAATCATATTAAAGTGTTTCAAAGTTCTAAAACTTGGGATCTCATATATTGAAATAAGTTATATGTTGATTTTTGAATGTTCCATATCATTTTCAAATATGTGTCAACCAGGGTTAAGTAATCCTTTTGGGTTAATCTTGTAATTACCATAGAGATCATGGTTAAGTGTGATTTAGTAAGGGTGAACTTACAATTTGACTTTGTGATCTCAAGCGATTGTATCAATTTTTTGGTCAAGGCAAGTATGAGAAGTAAGGTTTAGGTATAATCTTTGCTGAACACACCATGAAAGGATATGATGTGGGTTGGGTGTTGGATCTTAGAGCTAAGGTTATGGCAGAGGGCACACCACGTGGGGTCGTAGATATAAATCTATACTACTTATTAACCCATATTGACACACAAATCCATGGTCATTAAGAATGGCCAGGGATAAAAGAGTCAAACTAAATTTAAATAAATACTTTTTGAAAATAGGATCCCAATGAAAATCAATTTTCAAAAACATTAAGTTCAAAACAATGCATTATATAAGAGTTATTGGCAAACGAAAGAAAAATATAACTTACTAGTGAGGATTACACTCCTTTCACAGAATCTAAATACTTACGTTACAATTGAAATCTCAACTCAACAATTCAATCAATAAGTTATTGGAAGTCAAATGGCATATTTTTAGACCATAGTTTAATCATGAATATCATCGTTAAAATCATACAAAGGTGTCAATCACAATTTTGCTAGCCCAATCACAAGTCCATAAGAAACAGATTAATAAAAATGGCTAGACATCCCATATTCAATAATATATCAACACAATAATATTACTAGTCCAAATATAGACTCTCATGAGTTTGGTTCACAAAAAGGTTAAGCAAATAACAAACCATAATCACAAATTCAATTATAATAATAGATGCATAATATGTCCCTAAGTTGGCAATAAATATATATTCTATTACATAAAGATAAAGGAGGCTATAAAAGGTGCAATCTAACTCTAGGTCTCCAGGTCCTTTCCTTTACCACTACCCTAAGCGTTATTTATAAATATTAATCGTAGGGTGAGACAAATATATCAAATATCAAGGAATCCTAACTTCTAACATATATAGGCATAGCATTAAGGGCATGTAAAACCAACAAAATACAATATTAAATCATAATAAAATATCTAAATATGCATGATCAATTAATTTTTCTTTATATCCTTCTTATTTCTTTTGACTGAGTCCATTAACAATAATTTATAATAGGACCAATCTGTGTGACTGAATTAGCTCAAGTTTTCTATTTTTAGAGGGGTAACTCTATCAAAGGTTATCACTTCCTAACTTGAACCATGGACTCTCCCTACTAATCGAATTCCAATAGGTGTCATAATCATTGTCAATAACACATACCTACTCTTATAGTGAGTATCACCAGCTAAGCTAAAGCCATACCAAACTCTCATCAAATAGACACCACAACTATCTAACATTAAGAGCTACCTAAGTGTTATCTATGCCACATGAACTGATAATATTATAATATAATCTCCTAATTAAGTAAACTCCCACCCATTTCATTTCTCAATTATGCCATCAATATGCTTAATTTACGTGCATAATGTTACATTATCTATTGCCAACAAATTCATGCCTCGATCATCATACTCTAGTTCATAAACATATATGCATATTTCTCATAAAATCTCACATCATGCTTGTAAAGATCAAGATATAAAGTTTACACAATTAACTAAAACTTTCCATAATTAAATTCACACTCACTTTACATATTGTCTAAAATATTCAAAGAGCATTCTCTCTTTTTCTCTCACACACATACACATCACAATTTCTAAATACCATAAAAGTACTTAAACAAGCATATGAGAGAATTTATGTTTATGGTTACCTCTATCGCCTAAGTCTCTCAAAAGAGACATCTATAGATTCAATTCAATTACAAGCTTTCAAATGCTTTAAGAGCTTAAAAGAGTTTAGTCTACAATTAGATTAATAAAAACATAAATACAATAATAATTTCACCATTTTTATAAAGGTTAATATACAATTTGAACCCTGAACTATAGGTTCAGGAGTTATTTGAACCTTAAACTTTTAAAAGGTTCTTTTTGAACCTTAAATAATTAAAGCTAGAATAATTTCACCCCACCATTAAATTTAAACAAATGTCCATCAGTTTTTTTAAAAAATAGGGCATAATGTGTAATTTTTCTCAAATAGAGTAGGGGAGAGAGGGACAATGAAATTTGATAAAAATTGTACATTATGTCTTAATTTTTAAAAGACTAGCAGATGTTTGTTTAAATTTAATGGTGGGGTGAAACTACCTTAACCTTAATTGTTTAGAATTTAGAATGTACCTTTTAAAAGTTTAAAGTTCAAATTATCTTTGAACCTATAGTTCAAAAATTAAATTGCATTTTAACCCTTTTTCTAACTATCCATTTTTACTCAAAAATTTCATTTTTTTTAGATAACCTTGCTATCCAATAATTCCATTAGCTTTATTAGATGCTAATAAGTTTAACAAAACCGATTAATCGCTAACATAACCCTCACCTTACTCGTTTCCAACTTAAGGTTTACTCAAATTAACAAAAAATTTGGATAAAATACCTAAATAAATCATATACATTGTTCTAACAATTCTATTTCATCCATTTATACCAGCCAAAACTTCTCCCATAGTTAAAAATACAAGAAATTTGAAATTATAGGAAATCCCAAATCTCACACTATCAAAAATTTGAAAATAAAGAGAAGAAATGTGCTAAAAAAATATTTAAGAAATTTATATATTCTTAAAAAAATTCAAATCACACTAAAAATATCACATAATGGAACCTAATTACAAAACTTACTACCTCTCAACGATACTGTGTGTGACACGTGTTCTCCCGTCTCTTCGTTGTTGTGAAACGAAATGGAACAAGGAAGTAAAAGAACCCATCTCTTCTTTGTCCCGTTTGAAAAAAAATGTTTGATTTCCCTCAAATTAGGGTATAATTTTGCTCCTAAACTATTATCAAAAGGACAATGTTACTCATAAACTACTCATCACAGCAATGTTATCCTTAAACTAATTAAATCAGACTAATATTGCCCCTATTGTTTAAAACTCATAAACATTCGTTAATTGTAATTAGTGAGACCAACTTTTTATAATTTCTCTCTAATTAACAGATGTTTATGTTTCTTAAATGGCAGGAACAACATTACTCTAATCTAATTATTTTAGGGGCAACATTGTTATTATAAATAATTTAAGAGTAAAATTATACCTTAACCCTTCCTTCTTTTTACTTTTCATTCCTCTCTCATTTTATACACACATATCTAACTCATTTAATTATTTGCTTTTTCTTATATGTATATATATATATATATTCCTAAACTCTCCAAAATTTAAAAGATTGAGTTGAGTTTAGGTGTTTTATTGAAATAAATTTTTATAATATTAAGATAATTATGATATGTTAAGTTAGAAATATATCTTTAATAATTTAATTTAATTTCATCTAACCTTATTCATTTATAAAGATGACTTAAAATTAAAGTTTTCATAATTTAACCCCACAATAATCCCAATAAATTATTGGTTTATTTTAATTTCTTAGTTTACATTTTAGGAATGTTACAGTAGCTAAAGGAGCTGAACTTATGAACACGAAATTCATGGCCATTAGGAGCCCTATTTCGCTCGATGACGTCGATAAAACACTTGAACTCTTCCCACCATTTTGGAGCTCAATTTTGGACCCATTGTCGGTGGGTTATTGATCATGTTGAGCAGTTTGAAGGTTGTGGTGGAGTTGATTGGCAGCTAAATGACGACGACAGAGGAGGAATCGTGGCCGTTGAGGATGTTGTGCTAGAAAAATTGGAAATGGCTAAGCTTTTGTTTTGTGATCAAGGAGCTTCCGATCAATTGAATGAATGAAGTCACGCAAAGAAGAGGGTAAAGGAGAGTAGAAAGAAGATGGAGATGAAGGATCAATGTTTTTTTCGCGAGAAAAAAAGATAAAAATGCTTGTCGAAAGAGGAAGATGGAGCAGAGCAGCAGGAGGATATTTGCATATGCTTTTTTCTTAATTTTCTTTAAAAATAGCATGTGGTTGTCACGTAACAATTAAAGTCAAATGCACGATCAATTTTGATGACAGGATAAAATTACTTTTTCTAAAAAAAAATTTTAGAATAAAAATCTTACAAATAAAAGTTTAGAATATTAAATGTTTTTGAAAAAAAAAATGACAACTGTTTTGCCTTTATTTTTTTAAACATCTCATCCGAAAAAATCTGTATATGCAAATTAAAAAAGACGCGGAATATGCGGGGATGCTTAGATCAAGCCTAGTCGTATCGTGGCCGTCAAAGGTTTTCGGGGCTCCGAAAACAGACAAGATATCGCGAAGGACAGAATCATTGCATCGGCGTTCGATAGGGTTACGATACGGACAGAGAGCAGACTACAGAGCAATCCCTTCTGTCAACGACAACCTCTAGGTGCGTCCTCTTTCAACCTCTTCCATTTTCCCTTGGATCTGCCATCTAATTAGCAATTTCATGACTTCGTCTACTTCATCACTTTTCGATTGATTTTCGGATTTTGCAATCTAGGTCTTATTTTATAGCTCCATTTCAATTTAAAATCGCACAAGCTTTTCTCGATGCTAACTTTGGGTTTAAAATTGGTTTAGGGGGTGTTTCTGGATTTAGGTGGAAAGCTGGTTGTTTTCGTTTATTCTCTCTTGAAATTGAATGCAGGATGACGATCATGGCAATACTACCTAGGAGTTTAGGCGTTAACTGAATTGCTTCTTTTCATACTAGACCTTTTTTTTTTTAAATCAATTGTATGATAGAGGGCTGGATTAATCTTTTGTGTACATATCCCATCATTTGTTCTTTACTTTCGTACTGACAGTGGAATAGAGTATGTGTTTCCTTTCCTCCTCCCGCTTTTATTCAATCGTTTTCAGCCAAAGAAACGGGTCAATTTTATGGTGTCTTTCTTACTGTTGTTCTCGGGTCTCTAACATGGTTCTTTTCTCAGCAAAAATGCCTCGTTATGACGATAAATACGGTAATACCCGTTTGTATGTGGGACGTTTGTCCTCAAGGACGCGTTCACGTGACCTGGACAGGCTCTTTGGCAGATATGGGAGGTAATGTCATTGTTTAATTTAATCGTAATCAATCATTTAATTATTCATTGCTATCTCTGTTTTTGCTCTCCACAAAAATGCATTTTGTCATCAGTTTTCATTGAAAGTAGCATGGATTCAAAGTTCCTCTTCGGCGTTCTGTTCTGGATCAGCAAGGGACCTATATTAGTGTTTCACTTGTCTGGGGTGTTATGTCATTAGGATAAGTGGATAACATTCAGGTTTTTGGCTAAGCATATTTTGCGCTTGGATTTATATTGGTTACTCGTCATATTATGCGTGGGAATGATATTCCCTAGGTGTCATGTTTTAACTTGAATGATCTTGTTGAAGGTTTCTGGGGTTTTGCCTAAACCTGGAAGGTCTGTGGTAGGAGGGTGGCCTTGGTGGAATTCGTGGAAATTCCTTCCGAGTGTTGACTTTGGCGATTCTTTCTCTAATGTTATTGCGTGTTTTTATGGAAATGGCAACAATCACAAACTGGTGTTTAGTTCGTCTTTGAGGGGTGAAGTACATTACACTTGCAGTACTTGTCTACTGATGGCCTTACTGTTTCTGGAAACCATTTCCGCAGAATTCGAGGTGTGGATATGAAGCATGATTACGCCTTTGTTGTAAGTTGTTGCTCTTGCCTTTTCCTCACTCATTTATTTGTTTTCAAGTTGATTTCTTCTTGTGCCTTGACTCAAGGTTGTCTCCCAGTGTCTGCTTGAGGGGGTTCAATTATAAGCAATGGCGAGAATGTCTATTGGTTTTCTGCTTTGTTTCTCACAATTTTTGGACAGGAATTTAGTGATCCCCGAGATGCAGATGATGCAAGATATAACTTAGATGGCCGTGAGGTGGAGGGGAGTCGCATCATTGTCGAATTTGCAAAAGGGGTATGGGTTAATTCTGCAATTCTTATAATGTAAAATCTCTTTTTTATACTTATATGTAGGGTGTTTTATTTTTATTAAAGCAATTATAGTCATTTATCTGCAAAAAAATAATTCTTTCCTCAAATATGTGCCTTTGGCTTTGCTTTCTTAGTGGATAACATTGTTGCATAGTGATTGGCATTTGAGAATGTAAGTAATTGTCATTTTATTATTCCCTTTAGTAGTCCTATTTAAACATTCACTGTTCATATTGTGTCAGTTATTACATCTCTTTCTTTTACACCGTGTTCACTTTTTGGAGCTGTTATCTTTAGATGGCACTCCAAATTGAAATAATTTCTTGTGCACTTATTGAATACATGCTGTGATATTGGATCTGTAGCGTCCTCTTTTGTTGCCAGTGACTTGCGTGTAAAACCCATGCACTTAATGTAATATCAAAACATTTTTATTCATATTATCTATTATAAATGCCCGTTCCCTAATTTTTTTTAAACTTGTTTGACTTTCATCTTACTCTATGCCTTGTTTGCTTGAATACCTTTGGCATCCATAAATATTTATTGCTTAAATACCTTTGCCGGCTTTGTAACTATTTAGGGTCCTCGTGGTTCTCGAGAATACTTGGGTAGAGGTCCTCCTCCGGGATCTGGGCGCTGCTTTAACTGTGGTATTGATGGCCACTGGGCTCGGGATTGCAAAGCTGGAGACTGGAAGAATAAGTGTTACCGCTGTGGGGAAAGAGGTCATATAGAACGAAACTGCAAGAACAGTCCCAAGAAAATGAGGTAGAAACGTGTTGTGGGAATTCTGAGCAATTGTTGCTTTCTTTTATGTTCATGTTTTCAACATTATTCCTACTGTTCTACTGATGTTCCTGTGGTTTCTATTATTGAAAGAAATATCAATTTGACTTGTTTGTGCAGTGGTCATGGTCGAAGTTATTCTCGTTCGCCTGTCAGGTCACGTTCTCCTCGTCGTGGCAGAAGCCGGGATCGTAGTTACAGCCGAGACCGCAGCTACAGGTAGAACTCTCTAATACTGAAGTTTAATCAATACGGTGGCATTGCTGAGACTCTGAATCGATAGGCTTATGTTACAGTATAGATTTGTTTTGAAAAACATTGGCTTATCCCACATGTTTGGTTGCTTCTGACCATGCCAGCCAATCAAGATCCCCTGTCCGCAGAGAACGCAGCCCTGTTCGTGAAGATAGATCAGAGTCTCCCCGCTACAGAAGTCCAGAACCCAAGAATAGTCCTCCATCTGCCAAGACAAGGAACGATAGCCCTACTTTAGATGAAGGCAATCAACAGGAGAGAGAGGACATGTCTCCTGGGAATGGTGGGCTGACCACCCGGCAAGATGGATCTGACTATAGTGATGGTCCTAGAAGAAGGAGCAGAAGTAGAAGCCCTGTTAGCCCAAAAACTAATGGTGGTGGCCGCAGTGCTAGCCCTAGGGATGATAGGAGCCCCATTGACGATGACGACGACACCCGCCATTCTCCAAGGGGCAGCGAGTCACCTTGAAGCGCCATTCTGGGAATGATTTATGTGCTTCCTTTTTGAAATTATCCGTCTATGTGCTTGGAGGAGACAATTGGTTTCGAGGCATTTTGGCAATAATGTGTCTCTGCCATTTGCGACATTTTTTTTCTTTGGTTTTTGTCCCTTTTGTTTTCGTTTTTTTTTTAAACGTGCCAACCATTATTGATACTAGATTTATCTGTTGTAAAATGATTCTAAGAATGAAATATTAGAACTGATCAAATTATATATATGTTTGAAAATTACTTGTTCGAACATCTGTTGACGAAGATATTTTTGGCAAATTGATTTTAGAGCTACAGAATTATACTTGGGTTGTGGCTTTATTATTAGTCGACTAGTCGATGGAATCTTTGTGGCTCTTGTTCATTTATTTTGTTTTCTCAAGTCTCAAGGCATCGCTCATCACCTAACGTCCACTTACGGAGGAAAGTCATTGTAATGTCTTGAAAGTCTGCATTCGCAGTATTTGATACACATCACTGCATATTTCTTCTCTAATTTTGACTGTTCTGATCCTGGTACCTTCCAAACAATCAGCATCTTGGAATGAGAGTAATACCGTTGTTTTACTACCTTTTAAAAGCCAAATTACCTTTTCTTTCCTTTCCACGGGACCTTCCTAGATAAGAAGGGAAGATGAAAGTCCTCATATCGGCAGCATATCCTTTCTTTAGGTGAATAACCATAATCAAAATTTGTATCAAAAAACCATATCATTTCTTGTTTGTTTCTGCTACAAAATAGCCCCATATATACATAAATAGCACACATTTCTTATTTTCTTTTCATTTTGAACTACCTACGGTGAGGTTTGTTTAACCTAGAAAACTCGTCTCGCCAGCTTCCGTTGACAAAATTTGAGATGAATCTCCTGCGCAAAAGTTACAAATACATATATCATATATTGTCAATGCCCAGCTCATCTTCAATGTCGTCCCCGTCCTCAAATAACTTCAGAAACCGAGCCTGATCCTGCTCCCTCTTCTTCTTTTGCCAGTATTTATAAGCACCAACAACTCCAAGAATCATTATAGTTGAGCCCAAAACACTTAGCAAGACAACAACTGCTATGTGCATCCTTTTTTTACCATGGGGCTTTCCCGATGCAGAGCCAGAACCTAGAAATTGAAATACATATAAATATTATTACCATTGGGACGAAAACGAAATTATAGAGATAACCAACGCGAACAGAAGTTCATAGCCATACATGCATACTTGAAATAAAGGTGCTCTACATAGAGGAAAAAGGAAAAAAGGAAAATTGCTGCCTTGCTTGCTTTTTGAAAGACTCGAAAATTTTCAAAATAATTCAGGAGGTTATGGTTCATTGAGCAACGCAAGAAAACTAGATAAAAGCTTAGGCAGATGCCTCATAAATCCATAGGTTGACAAATGGCCACATATAAGAATTGATTATCAAAAATAGTTTGGGACATGAGGTATCATAATTTTCATCAAAGAAAAAATGGTACTTCTGATGGCTCAAAACAAATTTTGCAATGACACGTCATGAGTTAAAAATGCTTCTGCTGGAGGCTTTAATCTAATCAGAGGGACCTGGTTCTAAAGGTCAATAGTATGGATGCAGTAAGAGGAACTTTTAAAGGGTGAAAGAAGTTACTCACCATTAGCATATGTTAAGCACTTTGGACATAGAAATGTAGCTTTAAATTCTTTTTCTTCATGTCGAGTGTATTTACCATGAGGGGAAGTAAAATCAGAAGGACAAAATTCCCATTCGTCAAATTTATCATCTGCGCCAATGAGGTCTTTCTCATAGAATCCACATCGCTTGCACTTTTTATTCAAAAAGTGAGTCAAAGGCTGGAAACAAGCTGCAAAATCTCAGAAATTGCTTCAACCAGTGGAACATGTAATAACAGATGCTAATTATTTTGAATAAAGGATTCTAGCATGCAGATCAAGTAACATAATCACTAAGGCCTCATTTGGTTTATTGGAAAGATTTTTGAAGAAATGGGAACATGGCTGGAAAACGAAATAAAAATGAATTCTAAAGGAATGTTTGGTATGTAAGAAAAATTAAACGGAATGCTGATATAACACCCTCCTATATTTGCTTGCTTCCTTCTACTGCAACCTCCTCCACACACTAGAAGGTCTTTTACTTTGGTGCTGTCCTTCCCTTTGTGTTCAATCTACTTTTTCTACTCCTCACAGATCTGGCTTTGAGGGCCAAGAGAGAGAGAGAATATTGGTGAAGGAGAAGGAGAATCATGTGTAAGAGAAAGAAAAGAAGCCACAGTTGGTCGTTCACCAAAATCCAACGAGCTTGTTGTGGTCTATTTTGGAAGTCCTTCTGTTGCTGTCTTACTGGCAAAGAGGGGAAGGTTTTTTGGGGTTAGGTTTTTTCTTTTAGAAAAAATTTATTTTAAATAGTGGTGTTACATCTTTTCAGATGGGAGTGAAAGGATTTGTGGTTTGAAGAGGAGTTGGGTATTAAAATTTATTTCATGTGACAGGGTAATTTAGTCACAAAAGTTCGCTTCCCAAGAACAAAAGAGAGTTCCCATCGGACCCCCTAAGGAAGCCAAATCCCAACATTTAAAGGAATTTTGACTTTTCCACGACACATTTTTGATGCATAACAAGCCAAGGAAATAATATTGAATGGGGCCTAACGGTACGTTTAAGAGTTGGCAGGAGGAATTGGAGAGCAAGAAAGGGAAGGGCAAGAAAGGGAAGGGATGGTTAAATGATAATTTATGTTGCACTCGTTTCATATAATCTCTCTCTTACAAATTCCCTCAAATGGGGGGAACTTTTAAGTTATAACTAAAGAATCATTAATTGCCCCCCATTCCTAATTAATAATTCTCAGACAAGCAAAAGGTTTTAATGTTACGAATTATTTCAGAACATACCATAAGAGTGTACGTGTGAGTGGATTGCAGCTATTCACATGTTAGCTTGTGATTATACACAAATATAAAATAGTCAGCTGTCAGCTAGTCATTTCGGTACTGAAATGAACTTATGGATGTAAGCCAAAACATGAAATGAATTGGCTTGCCATCTCAGCATCGCACTATATACATATTCCAATTTCAGAATTCACAGCCAGAAGTGCACATAGAAGATAACCTTTAATGGAGAACCGTACAAACATATCAGCTCTAATGAGGACACAGTTTTTTGAAAAGTTAAATTGCACACTGTAAACAAACGAACACAAGTTCAATGAATCAGATCAAGGTGTGAGCTCGAAATTATCACACCCAAGAGGGGGGGAAAGTCTTTCTTTTCGAGCCTTCAAAACATCATGTCCTTATTAATACCACTACCACAACATTTTGAATGAAAAACGGAAATAGTTGCTTCTGTTATGATAAAGAAAACAACATGGATGCAGATTTATATCAGTTATCAGATTATCCAAGGAAAAGGTGACAAATGTATGATGTCTTACAATTTGATAGGTAAGATATTAGAAACTGATAAGATATGAACGAAATTATCATTACAAAAACCATACTTTGTCAAGGAGAATAAGAGAGGGCAGACAATATGAGACACTGTGATTAGGTTACTGATTTTACAGAGGAGAATCCTATTATATTATGTTCGGCAGTCAGTTTTCATTTATTATGAAAAATGTTCCAAATTCTGTAATGAGAAATAGACAACGCAAAATCTAATGTAGCTAAACAATGATAGAACTTGCGATAAAAAAGGCATTGATTCCAATTCCAAATCTATCACATGGATTGTAGACTCAATAAGCAAAGCTGTATAAATATTGCATAGATAGACGACAAACCACAAGAGCAGCTAAGCGAAAACCAAGATGAAGAGATAAGATATATATAAAAAGGAACCTGCCAGGATTCCTCGCCCTTAAAAGTATATAAGACGTGAGCTTCCTTGACATCGGGCAGTATCGTCTTGTTCTCCCCCTTGCATGTGAAATAAACAGTAGGGGTCGCTTTCAGCCATTCATGTGTTTCATAGATCTCAATTGATTTCAGCGTGACAACTGCAGAAAATATCAATCCTGTGCAATAAATGGCAGAAGCCACCACAGTGAATGATCCACCAAAACAACTGATCCACTTTCAATCAAACAACAGTAACAATAGCCAAAAAAGACCACAGAATTTTACAGATCTCCACCAAATGGAATTCTGCGTGCACATTTTTTCACTCATACATACAAGATTCAGGAATCAATCATTAAAAAAAAAAAACAAAGAAAAAGAAAAGTCGTCTACATCTGCGGAAATCTTACCTGGAAAATAGCTGAACAATATGCAACATGGTAGAAGAAAAATAGGAGCCCTAGAATTCAGCAGGTGCCAAAAAGACATGGCCAAAAGGAAGAAAGAAGAAAGAAAGAATCTGCTAACTAATAATTAAAAAAATTAGCATACGAAATCTGGAATGAAGAGGGCGAGCTAGCTGAACTGGATCAGGAATATGGCGGGAGGCAGCACCAGGCTGCTCGCTCCGTTTTGAAATATAATACAATAGAGGCAAATCAGGTGTGGGGGATTCCCATCTTCCGGTGGCGTTTGGGAGTCGAGGCGAATATTATCGGCCGAAGGTTATGTCATGTTTATGAGATGAGAGCGAGGCTCTAGAGTATAATTTTCACAAAAGATGTCGCCACGTCATATTCGCCCCTGCCCGTGCCGTCCTCGATGCCTCGTGCTGTCGTCCCAGAAGGTGCGCTTTTGTGTTCGCATAATAGAATTATTGAATGCTAAACAAATTTAATAATTTTAATGGAATTAGAAATTTAAAATTTTGTAGAATTTGTAATTGTAATTTATTAAATAGATAAGGAATAATGTTTTATGATTACATACAGGTGCTTTTTTATTGGAGACATTACTATTCAAAACATCGATGTAGCATTAAATATGTATGTTTTTCTTTGCAGAAGTTTAAATCCTAATCCGTCGAGGTGTAAATTCAAACAACGGTCGCAAAAATATTCATACGTCTTATATTGATATTTCATGATCTATGACTCAAATGTCTAAGAAACTTTTATTTGAGTGGACATGTATCTTTAGGCAAGGAAAGATAGAAGGCAACGAGAATGGAAGTGATGAGACGGAGTAAAGGTTGGAAGTTGGCTGTGTCTTTTTATTTTTGTTCTTGTTTAGTTTTTCCAGCGTATCAAAAAAATAATAATAATAAAGGTGGAAGTTGCAGTTGGTAATCCGTAACCTTCGGAGAGTTCGGGCCTCCGTCAACTTGCTCATTTTTTTCAACAATGTTTCTCCCATCCATACCCACCGTCCCTCTCCGATGGAACCAACCTCAACGTCCAAACCCAAATGCACTTCATCCTCTCTCTATCAGTCTATCTTTATCCTTCATCATCATTCTCCTTTTCCATTCCCTCCCCCTCATCTCCGCTCTCAAACCCGACGGACACCGTTCAAAGGAGGTCCAACCGGCAAAGCTGTTCAGATGGGGTCGTGGACCGGACGCGCCGCCGTCTGATCACAATCACCCGTATCTAGGTGGCGCAGGAGTTCATGACGGTGCACGATGGATTCGCAAGCAATAAGAAGAGCCTCTGCACAAGATGGGACGAGATGTCGAGATGATGACGGAGCGATACGGCGGCCGCAGGATGATCCACTCGGATGTTCTAGAGGGCAATGCGGAGACATTATTTCATTTGTAGAGTCAACCGGTCTTTTTCGGTCAGTCTGTATAGCTACAGAATCTTAGTTGTTAGGCTGGTGAGTGGTGACAAACGTGGATAGTAAGGACTTGAAGAACTCGTTCAAATGATGCTCAAGAATTGTGATTTTAATTCAGTATCTGCATTCTGCAGAGTTATCATCGAACTAGCTTTTAGGTCCACGTTTTATCTCCGTGGCAGTCTGCACTCTTGTTGTTCTTAGTTAAAATTAAAATTGAGAACAGTTTAGAGGTGAGTTTTTCTATCTGGTCCCATCTATATGATATATAGAAGTAGGGGTGTAAAGCTAAATGCTGGTGCATTCTGTGATTTTACAGCAACACGGCATTGGTGTCATGCATCTTGGTTTGTGACATTAATTTATTGTGACATTAATTTAATAATTAGTTAATTCTCTCCCTATTTAAAAATATAAAATATTTTTAATCGAATCTCATATCCTAATAAATTAGTTATTTATTTTTAAACTAACCTTATCTTTTTATATTTATCCCTATTAAATACTTTATAATAAATATAAATTCATTATTAATAAGAACACTTTAAAAAAAAACAATAATTACATCCTAAAAAACTAAAAATACCTTATTTTTTTAGCATCCAACTCCTTAAACAATGTCTTATATTTATTTATGGAGGGGGTATATCTTACATTTTGATTTGATTCTTTTTTTTAAAAAAATCAAAATATATACGATTGATTGAAGTTTTAAAAACAAATTCGATCCTATTAATTATTTATGCAATTGACTATAGGCATATTTGAAACGATCAAGATATGTTTCTTATTAATTACAATTGCATGTTAATTTAGTTGGTGGTAATTTAAAAAATGGTCCTTATGTCGCCCGGATGTATTATTAGTCTCTAACCTATATCTATAATTTATAATCTATTGTAATTATGGTCAGATGGATGCTCTAGATCAACACTACCCATCTGACTTTTTATCTTTTTCTATGTTAATTTTTTTAATATGATATAGTTAAAAAAAAGTAAATAATAATGTGGATCTGCAATAAAAGAGGTATATGTTGGAACTACAAAAAATAAATTGCCAATATGAACTTTATAATTAAAAAAGAACAAAACATTTTGACCTCCCCTTTATTTTATCTTAATTAATAATATATCTATTTTATTTTCGAAACCTGTACAAACTTGTTTGAACCAAAATTAGCACGCCCAGCCCAAATGGTATAATTCATAGAGGCCTAGATCGAAAAGGGATTATACTCAACTCATTAGCATACCAACCTTGTATGTATAAGTGGAACGGTGTGTTTTAAGAGAAAGATTAACAAAGTCATGCCTATTTTGCCTACTCCCTAAGATTCTCGGTACACTCACACTCAACGCTCCACAAGATGAAGTGTCTCTCAGGAATTCCAAGGCATGAACAGTTACTTGCTCCTGAAGGTACTAAAATTGAATTTAAAATGAGCGCATCGTTGCCACTATAAATAGGAAACAAGCGCACTTAATGTTGTACTCTTGACCCTGCATTACTTAATCTCGCCCGGCATGACTTACTTTCCTTGTGTAAACTTAGCTCCCTATGCTAGTTTCGCAGTTGTTTTTCCCTCTTTGTCTTCACGGAGTGCCCAGTTGTATTCGTTTTCTAGTAATGCTATTGAGCTTCATGCTTAATTACAATGCACCCTTCATTGTTCTCGTACATCACTTAACTTTCCAAAGAATTGTAACTCACTCTATTGAGGATTCGCTCCTCTAGTATGCTTAACACACACCCTAAAGGTCACAACACTCCAACCCCTTCATTGAAAGTTAGGCCAACATAATATTTTGGCATACCCGAGAGGACCTATGCATGTATACTAATGACACCACCACGAATTGAATATTTTGAATAAGAAAATAACTTCTCTAAACCTGATGACTTGAAAGATTGTCATAAGTATTAGGCTCCTTAAAAGCTATCAATCTGGGAACCATAAAACAACAACAACAACAACAAGCCTTTATCCCACTAGGTGGGGTCGGCTACATGGATTGCAAGACGCCATTGTGTTCTATCATTTATTAAGCTTTTAGAAATATTATTAATTAAGAGAAATCTGGGAACCATAATACATAAAAATCTACTCATAGATCACCACCCACAGAGAGTCAGAGATCCACGCTCCAATAAAGTCATGGATTGATGCATCATTAAAATCAAAGTATTGGGGCTCCCCAAGAGTCAATAATTTGGGAACCAAAACACCTAGAGATCCACTCATAGATCACCCCTTATGTAGATCTAGTGATCCACGCTCCAATAGTCGTGGATCGATGCACCCTTAGAATTAAAGTACTAGGCTCCCCAAGAGCCAATAATCTAAAGATACGCTCATAGATTACCACCTATGAAGAGCTAAAGATCCGCACTTTAAAGATCTACCCTATAAAAGAGTCATGGATCCAGCCAAAATGGAACCACATTCTTATAGACCAGTATGAAACCACACTCTTGAATGAAAAAATAATAAAAATTATTCCAAATCTTAGGATTTGGAATGTGATACTATAGGCATAGTACACCAGTCAACTCCATTACAATCTATGAACAAGTATGGTGAATAGAGCTCTGAGGTGCAACCTAGCTTTCTAGCCACGCATTAGAACCCTAAATAGATATTAGGAACTTTGCAACATATCAGAGAGCATTAAGCAATGATCCAATATGCTCAAGGACAATTCATCATAGCTATAGTTGAGTATTGTAAATGTTTTGAGCAAGATATGCTATATAGAGCTGAGATTGACAAGTTTGAGACCCAGCTTTGCCACAAACACTTCAAGAAAAAAATGCTTGCAAATAAATCAGAGAGCTCAACTAAAAGAAGAATCTCTCAAGAGTTACAATGAATCCCTTAAGAGCATATCAAAAGAGCTCAAGGGGTAGTCGTCTTGTGACTTCAAGGATGAACTTTATGAAGATGATGAGTTAGAGGTTGACTCCTGGCCTTTGAAACCAAGAATATCCAAAAAGCTTGAGAGGCACTCTTCTTATGACTCAAACGATAAGCTTGGCAAGGATGATGAACCAGAGGCCGACTCTTGACCTTTAGAACCTAGCTTATTTGAAAAGCTTGAGGACCGTCTTTCTGATGACTCCAAGTTTGAGTTCTGTAAGGATGATAAGTTAGAGATTGACTTATAGCCTTCAAAACCAACTATAAATGAAGAGCCCAAGGGGCAACTCTTTGAGAGTACCCAACTATCTTGGACTAATGAACCAAAGGCGAACTTCACGCCTTAGGAATTAAATTGAGAGCAAGATTCACACCTAAAGCCTTTCATTGAAAAGGAGCTAGCTCCTTAAGCTGGCTCCCCAAGTTCCATGTCACATACGTTAGGAATAACTAAAAGATGGAACAATTCAAGTATTTATACAAATTTGGCCTATGATGAACTTGGCCACATTTGTTTCGGGGGTAATTATTTGGATTAAAATATGATTTTTTTTTTGTCCAAGCCTGATCATTTAGGCTAAAATCCAATTTGTGACTCAAGCCTAACTATTTGGGCTAAAAGTCCACCAAAGTCTTCTAGAAAGGAGGAAGTTATGAAAAGAGTTAGTCAAGCAATGCACCAATTAAAAGTAGAAGTAAAGGAAGTTTTAGAAAAAATTGCAGCTAGTAGTCTTAATTTAAAGGTGGAGTCAAAGAAAAACTACCACTTTGAGCTTATAAAAAGGAAGCCACCACACACACACACACTATCTAATCAACTCTACAAACTACACACATCTCTACAAACAATTTTTCTGAACACTTCAACAACTCAGTTCCAAAATTTACTTGCCTAATGTAAAAATTTGACCATGTATCATCCTTTACTTTGTCTAGTGCGACTCTTTTTATCCTTCAAAAAATTTAATATAGTGTTCTAAGCGTGCCAAACATTAGTAGAGAGCAGTGAGTTCTCCAGCAACCAATAAAATGTCATCTCTTAGCAAAACAATAGTAACAATGCACCAATGCCTTTTCTTTTAGTTTTTCATCTATTATTTCCTCTAATTTCTCTTTTATCATCATCAATATCATATATGCTCTCACCATACAAGTCTCACGTGTTTCTCCAATTTTATTCCTTTATTTTCTTTATTTTTAAACACTTGTTTGGAAAATTTGTGGTAAAAGACCTTAGGAATTCACTTGATTAAAATCTTTTCCCTCCATTTTATTTTATCTAATTTGAGAGTTAATATTCCCTTGCATTACTTGGGATATAAAATCAAGTTTGTAAACATACATTTTTCAACCCATAACACGTTTATTCTCATAAACGCCTCCAATCACGAGAACATTCCGAGAAAAAATTGCGAAACTAATGGGAGAAGAAAGAGATGAAAGAAATAACAGACATATGAAAATGTAGAAAAGCATTACATAACGAATCTGGAAACATCATGGTTTTGTAGCAACGAACAACTATGCACAGCTAAAAAGTAATATTTCTTCTTGATGCAGCTGAACACGCTGCAACTCAGCAACTAACTAGAATACAACACACCTAGAGAAAACGTCAAAATCTGGGACAAATCCCCCGATCACATTCTTTCCTACAGAACACCGTCGGAAGCTTTTCATTTTTAGAAGCTAACTTGCTCTTGTAATAAGCCATAGTTTAACGGTCCCTCTCAACAAACTACGATCCTCCCCGTTATAGTAGTGTGGTCATCTTTCCTTTACTGGGAGTGCGTTTGACCTCAGGGTTTTGTGAATTAGACACAATCTTTCCGGACTTATGAATAGGTTTCTTGTATTTTCGATAGACAATCCTCTGTGCCAACGATTTGAGTGGAATTGTAACGTCCAAAGGCAGGAGAATCTCTTCCAACTCCTGCCAATCAAGATCTTCAGAGTCACCATCCTCATAAAGAACCCTGAACCATCCAGTTTGTTTGTCAAATTGCAGCACTACACCCGAATAATACCGCCCCATAAACAGCTTTAGAACTTCTCTTCCTTCCAACCATTCACCTAAACCTGAATGCACTGGTGCTTCAACAGTGCTCGAAGTCTTATGCAAAGCAGGAGTGCTTTCACTAGGGATAATGTCAGGCACCCCATTAATTATAATAGCAGGCTCTCCTGGTAACTCAAAAACTGCTGTTGCTGAGGCATCTGATTTTTGCTGGCTTCCTCCACCCTCCATTTCAGAGGTTCTTTCTGATAAATCTACAGAGAGTAAAAAACTTAGTAATATGAAAAAGCAATATATGCTTGCAGCTTTAGAAAGATTGAAACTCAGATCATGAACTGAGGAAATAAATTACAATTCCGGACAAAATTAAACGAACAACCAAAACAGATCACAAGGTCGTATGAAACTTGGTAATTGGTATTGCCATGAAATGCGAATGCCTTTCTCTCTGTAGTCCTGAGAGCTATGCTTGCTCACAAGTAATTCGCACCAAGAGATATGAAAAGGAGAGATCAAGATATCTTGCCATTCCAGGTTTGTAATATTATCTCATCTGGAGAAAGTTTAGATTCTGATAGCCCCATCAAGTCATTCATCTTTTCTTCACTGCTTCCCTGCAAGCATAGGGGATGCTTGAAATACTAGAAAGCCTTGCGATGTATCTAGGCTAATGCAGAAGGACCAACTAGTTCTATGAAAACATAACATCTTCCTCCTCGGGCATCTGTGGAAGGCCTGAACTTCTCATGTGATCTATTAGACTACCGATTACTGTAACGATCTCAGCCATTCTACTGTTTGACTTATCTTCTACTCCAAATCTCTGGACTTCATTTTTAATTTCAATCCAACTATAACCAGGATTTGTTTTCAACCCCTTCTCTTTCATCATTTTTCGCACTCGTGCTGCTTGATCCCACCAGCCTGCACTGGCATACAAATTGGCCAGTTGAAGAAGTGTTGCAGGGCAGCCCGGTTCAAGCAATAACCTGCTCTCTGCTGCCTGGATGCCAATCCATACACTTCCATGAAGCCTAGAGGATGAAAGTAGCGAACCCCACATTACAGCATTAGGGTAAACAGGCATGTTTTGGATGAAATCTTGTGCCTCAAGAAGCAAGCCAGCCCGGCCAAGAAGATCAATAATACATGAATAATGATCTAATTCTGGGTTTAGGCCATGTTCAGCCATTAAGTTAAAGTATAGCCAACCTTCTTTAACAAGTCCTGCATGCCGACATGAAGATAACACACCAAGGAAAGTTATGGCATCTGGACTAACACCTTGCAATTGCATCTTTTCAAAAAGATCAATAGCCTCTTTTGCGTGCCCATGCTGTGCATATCCTGCTATCATGGAATTCCACGTGATAACATCCCTATCTTTCATGTGTTCAAATATGTACAAGGCATCTTGGATCACTCCACATTTGCAATACATACTGACAAGAGCATTGTCAATGTGGAGATGAGCATAAAAGCCCATTTGAATTATTTGACAATGAGCACTTCTCCCCTGTCCAAGTGCACCACTGCCCGTACAAGCACTCAAAATGCTTGTATATGTGAACTCGTTAGGCTTCAATGCTGATTTTCTCATACCATGGAAGAGCTCCAAACACTTGTCAATGTGAGACTCTTGTGCAAACGCAGCTATAATTGCTGTCCATAACACCACATTTCTGATACGCATTTCTTCAAAGGCCCGATAAGCATCTTCTAACAAGGCACATTTACTGTATAAACTTACCAAAGAACTTCCAACATATAAATTAGCAATATAGCCAGTAATTATTGCTAGGCAATGATATTGAAGACCCCCAAAAAGGTCACGCTTGGACCCACATGTGCTCACAGCATGAGACAAAAGGTGTGCATCGACTCCTGTTGCTTGTTCCCGCTGATCAAGATGAATAGAAATCAGATTCTCAATCCGCAGGTCTGAGGATGGGACAATTTTGCTGACTGCATCCCTGATTTCAGTCATATCCTGCACACCAGCAGGATTAACCTTAACAAGTGCTTTTGCATTGCTTTCCAGCGTGCTCTCAATAAGCCGAAGATGGCTTTGCAGATTCTTTGTACCTCCTGTCTTGATGTTTAAAAGGCTCAGAACTCCTAGTGCATTAGCTAACTCGTTTTTCTCTCCTCTAAATGCAAATTTGTGGGAAGAGAAAGACCTCAGGAAAGAAAGAGGTTGCAAAACATGACAAGAATTCTTCTTGAGACATTTTTGAACAAGAAGAAAAAGAATCATCCCACAATCCCCGATTGAAGCCAATGAAGTAAGTCAACATAGAACTAGTGCTGAAAAATCATGCACCCCACTAATTACAATACCAGGGTAACTCAAACATCTCTGTTGCTAGAGTATCTGCTGCCAGATGATTTCTTATCCTTTCCATTTCAATGAGTTGCCATATTCTAGAATACAGACACGGTATACCCCCTAAAAAACCAATGATATTGATAGGCAAAAGATCCCTATAGTGACACAGTGTTCTTTTTTTTGGGTAGCGAGTAAAAATGGGTCCCTAAACATATCTAAGTGTTGTGCCTGACTTGTAAAAACATAATAGAGATATAAAATATTTATAGGTCTGATGAACATAATTTGTCGGGACGTATCATTCTCTCCTTTTGGGGGAGGACTCGCCAATTACGAACTGATGTTCCTTAATCCTTTTCCTTGTCCACCCTGCTAAGCGTGGCACCTCCAATTACTTCTTTTCCCTTTTCATATAGAGAGATTGAGTGGGTACAGAATCTCTCATCAAAAGATCCATAATTTCACAGAGCACACTTGAACAATGAAAGTTGGAGTTAAGCTTTCAATGAACCTTACCAGGGAGAGAAAGACGGTGGCAGGACGTCAGCGACCGGCGAACTGATGGGCAGCGGCGGAGATGAGGTGCAAGGTGTGGGATTTTTCCTGGATTTAAGAATTGAGGGGCAGGATAGGGAGGAGTGGAAAGTTCTTCTTCCCCTCTCAGATTTGTTTTGCTAATCTTTTTTTATTAGCTGTTTTAATGATCTTATTAAACGGGATCGGGTTGATTAACTGTTTTCGGCCCCACTTTGATTACCATTTACTTGGTGAGTTTTGGGTTCGGCGCTCATGTCTCAACAAAAATTTCGACCATCCAGATTATATAAAAATAAAATTTATAATTTTTTTATAAATACATTCATCATCAATTTAAATAATATTGATTTAATATGAAACTCTAAATAATTAAAGTTATAATTTTCATAAACTGACTATCTAGATGTATTTTGAATAGTGCAGATTTAATATTAATTTTTCTATAATTTTTATTTTAATAAATATAAAATTAAAAAAATAAAAACTTTAAATCTAAACCTTATAAATAAAAATTTAATATTAAATCTGATTTGTTTAGAATATATTTAAATAATTAATTTATAAAAATTGTAATATTCAATTGAACTACTCAAATTAAATCAATATTATTTAAATTAATGATAAATATATTTGTTAAAAAATATGGTACTCAGCAAGCTGAAGACGGATCCATGAGTTTTTCTGCCCCACTTTCATTCGAATTAAATGTATATTTTGAAAATTTATCAAATTTGATTTAAAGATCCAAATCTGCAATAATTTCTTCTTTACCCTCTTTTGTAAAATAGAAAAGCCAACTTCTTTAGTAAAAAGAAGAAATGTCAAAAATTGAAATGTTTTTGAATCCGGAAAACTTGCTATTGATAATCCACGAGTCGTAACACGACAATTAAATAAATACATAAAAAGCAAAAAATAATTTTTTGCCAGCAAAAAATTTCAATATCAAACTGCTTTTTTTAAAAAAAGGTGCTCCATATATTTTCTTGGAGGAAATGTGCTCCATATTATTGAATATTCGAATTATATCTCAATTTTTGCTGAACTTAAAATGAAAGAAAAAAAATAGAGAGAAAAGAAAACACTAATAAATCATATTGGAATATATTAAAAAAATTTACATTAATTAACTAAATAATAAATTGAATGCATATAACTTTAAGCTTGGCCTTAAATTGGTTTAAGTTATTGTAATAGAAGCACGAACTTAATATGTGTGCGGCACCGAATTTTATAAAGTTTAATTATAGACAAGTATAAGGATTTGGATTTGGTGATTGTATTTAATTTAAACACTGAGTGCCTTTATTATCTGAGCTGTTAAAATTTATATTAATATTTTAAATTTATATTTCACTTGATATTAATAAATGAGTGAGTGCATCTGAATTATTAATGTAAATTTCGACGACTCAAATGATATAGATACTCAGTGCTTGTATTAAATACAGTCATTGAATCCAAATAATAAATACAATGGTATGCTTTTGCTTGATTTGCAGTACATCTTTTATTATTTTTTCTTGAACTTCTAACAAGGTTTGGAGCTTAAAAAGATCTTGTAATATGCGTATGTGTTGAAATTAATGAACTATTAATGCAGACACTTGGATAATAGATTTTCTGTTAACGTACAATTTAAGTTGTTCCGATCTTGGTTTGATCCACCTTAATGCTGAGTTTTTGTTTTTGTTTTTTTTTTTTCGGTACAAAAGAAGGGCAGAGCCATTAAATGGGATTGCCATCCCAAGCACTCATTGTCAACAATTTCCTTCAGTAAAAAGGGAGAGACGCATAAAGTCTTGAATCATATTCAAGGCTTCCTTAGCCAAATGACCTGCCACCATATTCAGTAGCCTCGGCACACATTGAAACACAAGTGACCGCTGAAAATTCCTCATGCGTAAGATTTCCAGCCGACCGAACTGCAGAAAGCATGCGTTGTTGCGTCAGTCAATGTTTTACAGTCACTTTCCAAAATAACCCGTTGGAAGCCCATGTTCCCTGCCAATGATAATCCCTGCAATACTGCCCATTCTTCACCTTCAAGAGGGGTACAAATTCCAATCCACATTAAATTTCAGTCGAAAACCTCTGCAGGATGTTTCCAATTATGTGGGGAGATGCACATTATATTCTGATTACGTGGTCGGGGTTCATTCAACGTTACAAAATTCTTCCATATCTTCAGAATTACAGAGAGGCTCCATTAAGGGGAAACTCTCAAAATAGTTTTTGGGCCTACGGAGTTTGAGGCTCGAGACTCACGTCTTCTCACGCTGCTTCCTGCTTCAGACCGACATATCATTAGGTCCGTGTTGCTGCTTTCCTTAAAATAAAAAACAAATCTATTAATAATAATAATAATAATAAAAACTACATGCTAGTTAAGATCTGTGACAACTTCCTCTTATTTTCCGCAGCCTTCCTATAATAATATGAAGGTTGATAAAAATACAATAACTCAGCCACTAATGAATCCAAGGGGCCATTCCCCCCCCCCCAAAAAAAAAAAAAACTCCTAGCCTAAACCATCCTTGATAAATAGAAAATTTTTATTTATAAAACATCTTGAAATCAATTCCCCTCCCCCCAATTTTAGATAAAATTTCAGTTTTGGCCCCCCACATGATCATATCTTTATTCGTCTTGCTGCCAGCCCAGTCTTTTGCATTTCTAACCCAGGAAAAAAAAAAGGAACAATAATTTGAGTTGCGTGCATGCATGACGTCTAGGGGAATATACCCCTCTCTGTACAAAAGCATCCTGATAGCAAATTACGCTAACTTAGGATGCTGGCGCTTCACGGCAAATAAAAGAGATAGGAGGGCGATGACTGATGAGAGCATAGGAGGGGTTTGCAATGCTTTCTTTTCTGTCGAAGACGGCTCCACCACGTACATGGTCTCTCTCTGATGTCACCGAATTGATAAGATTTGGGTTTCTTTTCGCCTTTTTTTTTTTTATGAGATCTTTTATCTTTACCACATTCTTGTCTGTAAAGTAGTTTCCTTGCTGCTAAAGCATCCAATAAACGCCGCTTCAATATATTTTCCTCCATGCCCTTTATAAGCTCCTAATCATGGCTTCACCCCATCGCGCCTTGTATTAATTCATCATCTTATTATCATCAGAACCATAATTTTCCTGTGCAAAGCTTCCACTAAATATAGGAAAGACAAGAAACACAGGTCACCAAACTCAATAAGCCTGTGCGTGTAATGAACTAATGACATTCAGCTCGACTTCCTCGTTCCCTTCACTATCAAAATCACGTGATTCGAATAAAATATTTAATTAGTTCTAAATAAGATAATGGGTTAATTGGCAAGCATCCCGGTGACTTTATTTTTACAAGATTAAATTTCATATACCACAGAAAATGAAGTAGATGTATGGAAAGAATCCATTTTGGGAAAAGTTGTACAGTTTCTGTTTTGGAATCTTAGGCAGGATAAAAGTATGAGTTTGATACTTGATTGATCTGCTGGATTGATATTACCCTCTCGTTGTTTTCGCAACTTGGGACGTTTGGAGACTTAACCTGTTCCCACGGTGCTTTTAAAAAAACAAGCAGAGAGGCCCAAACAACATCCACGACTATGTTCTAGGAGTATCACATTTTGCTTGTAGCTTTCCTTCCTGACTTTTTAGCACAGGGGGTGTGACACCTATTTTTCCACTCGCATAACTGGACATGATGTTACTATTTCAGCCATCCCCGGTGCCAAACTTCACTCAGAAGATTTATTATCTATCAAAATAAAAAATATAGAAAATAATTTTTAATAAATATTTAATTTAGTAAGTAATAATTTATGAGACGCGGAACAAGACATTTGCATGGTGGACAAATGCCACGGCGTTGTAACCTATCCCAACCACCACAAGGGTCAGTGTGTCACGCCACTGTCAAGCGTTCACTTCCTGCAACATGTATTCTGCCCTCGCGAGGAAAGAAAATTACTGTTTAACTCCCGTTGCCACTCATTGTTAATTGGCAATTAATTGTGATTTTCAGGAAATGAAAAATCCACGATGTCAACGCTCTATTCTATCGGTACCAGACCCTAAACACTGCTAAACCTTGAACCGATCCTCAATCCCACGAATCATGTCTTCTTCGTTTCATATCACAGAGAGGAAGCTAAAGAATAAAGATTGACAAATTTAGCTGAATTGTAAACTCTTCGAAAAGGCCAGCACCCGCGATTGTGATATCCAAAAAGTAGAAACATGTTTGGCTTCCACCCACCGACTAAAAAGGATTCTCAAACACTTTCCTTCTCTCTCTCTCTCTCTCTCTCTCTCTCTCAAAATAAAAAAGAAAATAAAATAAAAAGGATGTAAACTGTAAAGGACACAATGGTCAATACCACCCAGCATCAGGCATTTCATTATAATTCCAAAGACGGCGCACAATAGTCATAAGCAAACCGTCCAAAAAGCCAAAGTAGAAGCACATGATCCCATAAGCCATAATGGAAGAAACCGCAACCATATTGGCTGCACTCTCCGCCCTCCCTCCTCCTCACCTCTCCGATCTCATCCACTCCATCGCCTCCGTCGTCCACCACCACCACCTCCGCCTCGCCTCCGTCCTCTCTTCCCAATCCCTCTTCTCCCTCGCCCTCCATTACCTCCACTCTCTCTCCCTTCCCCAAAAGTCCCTCCTTATTGCCCGCCACCTCCTCTCTTTTCTCCACATCCTCACGCGCCACCTCCAACCGCCGCCTCCTCCATTATCTGCCCTCACGAGACAGCGTGACCTCGACGCCGTTCTGCTGCTCCTCTTATTCTGCGATGCCCACCAGCACCACCCGCAAGCTCTCGAAACGCCAGTCTGCAATTGGCGCAGAAATCTGAGCAGGCTTTTCTCCGATAAATTGTTGGGGATGTCTTCTACTTTTATCGGGGAATGCAGTGCCGCTATTCTGATTCCCTGTATTGAGATGGTAATCCGGTGCCGGAGGCTGGTGGGTTCGATGGACTGCGGCGGAGGAAAGGGTGGCGGGGAAGTGGCGGCGTCGAGGGCGGCCGTGGTGGCGCTGCCGCGAGTGGAGGTGAGAGCGGGTGGAAGGGAGTGCGTGATATGCAAAGAGGAGATGAGAGTGGGGAGGGATGTGTGCGAACTGCCATGTCAGCACGTGTTTCATTGGAACTGCATATTACCGTGGTTGAGTAAAAAGAATACGTGTCCCTGCTGCAGGTTCCGGCTACCGTCCGATGATGTGCTTAGAGAGATCCAACGGCTGTGGGAGGTCTTGGTCAAAACGTGTGGGGCAGAGTTGGGGGATTGAATCTGGAGACACCATAGGGGCGGGGCCCACGGAATGGGTGAATAGCGAAGGCTCGTGTTTGGTCCTTGCTCGTTTGCTTGTTGGATACGACTATTAATTTTGGAGGTTTGCGTGCATGGTGTATACTGTACTGTATAGATAGATGCTCGTGTGGTTAAGGGGAGAAACGCAATTTAAATACGTCCAAATCAACGAGATAGGCTCAATTGTGTTTTAAATTATTGGGTCCCCACTTCCCCGTAACGGATAGTGTACGTGGAAATAAATTGTAGGGCAATTTACATCCTAGCCTTCTACAAAGTGTTAGGAGTAGCACGTTTTAGAGCTTGCTCATGTTGAGACCTTCGGTTTTTTTTTTTTTTTTTGTCCGCCATGATTATGTGAGGAGTTAATTTTGTATTTATTGCTGATTTTCTGTGTGGCTCATGATTCATGGGGTACCATTCAAGTCAACAAATGAATCCAGGTCTCGAATTAAAATGCCTTGAAACACACAGCTCTTGATGGAAAGAGGGAGACAAATTCCTTGCCATTAATGAGGAGTTTGATATCGTCCTATACAAATTTTACAAAACATGTACCCGCCAGAATGCTTCACTTCTGGTGCTTTATATAAGCAGGTTTAGAAGGTTTTGATTATTCTGAACGTATAAATTATTTCACAATTTATGTGATATTAATTATTTTATTCCAAATTCATCTCCTCAATTTCAATAAAAGAATAGAGAATATGCTTATCAAATTTATAGTATTTATTGGAAATAAAGATCGAACTCATTGCAATTTCTAAACAATTTTAATGATATGGCTAATTTTTCTGTTCCTTGCATCCAAACAATTAGCCACTACTCCTTGTTTCAAGGAGGAAGGCTCGTGCCATTGAACCAAATGGTTCTGGGCGAAAAAGTAGAAGCCACCGCAGAGTAGAATAGCTCGAGGGAAAATCTTCACGTGATAATTCACTGCCGCCCCTAAAACTCATCCTTCCATGGCTCCATCTATAATTCTATATACCCTGGTAAGAGATTCAATCATAGCCCACCTCTTCCAGGCCCAATCGCCACATATTCTGGCCCATTAGTCTCACACTTACAGTTCCATTCCACGTTATCATTAAGGCCATCCATTACACATAGTTTTTTCCTTTTTGGATCACCTGATCGATGTGGGCTCTGTCTTAGAGCCAGCCCAGATGCTTGGTCCAACCCTTTTTCACCTCCCATTAGAGCCGGTAATTTGGACCGAGCCTGAAGGGCCATCCTGAACTCGCCCGAAAAATTTAGGACTAAGCCCAAAAAAATATTATTTTTTTATTGTTCGGACCCAAGAAAATTCGGGCCAAGCCCAATCGGGTTCGGGCTTAGCCCGAATACCCAAATAAAAAAATAAATTTTAAAAAATATATAAAAATATGATAAATATTATTTAATTTTTCAATTTTTATATCATTTTATATCAAAATACTATATATATAAGTGTTTAATGTATGTATTTTTTAAAAAAAAATTAAAAATAGTTATATTTCATATTTTTATTTTTTTAATCAATAAAATATCTCAAAATAATATTTAAAATATATTTTAATATTAATTTTAATATTTTAAGACCCAATTTTTGTTAAAAAAAATTTTGAGTCCTATAAATCATTTGCATATAAAAAATAATTTTATATTTTTTATAAATTAAGATAATTAATTTTAAAGTAAAAATAAAATTAAAAATAATTTTAAAATAAAATTTAGGCATGTATGAATTTTTGACTCTACTACTAGATAAACATAATAAATAAATAATATTTTTAAATAATTACTTGGTTATTGTCAATACTAGATTTGGTTAAAAATTAAGAGTAAACTAGAGTACAAATCTCTTTTATGTAAGAGTTAAACAATATAAAAAGTTAAAGAAAAATGATTTCAAAAAAATAATATTTACTCATATTTAAATAAATTTTTTATATAATAAAATGATGGAAATTTTTTTATATTTATAAAAATGAAAAGTATAATTTACCTAAAAGTTATTAAAAATTTTAAACTAATCGAGATAATAATTTTAAGTTAGTAATCTAACTGTGATTGAATTGAGATTAGCTTAATCATAATTAAAATAATATAATTTAATTAAAATATATAAAATATTTATATATAACTATGATAAGAGCAATATTTAAACAACTAAAACATTAATTTTTAAGTAAAGGAAACATTCATGAATAAATTATATATAATACAACAAAATAATAACAGAGCTACTTAAATATAAAGTTCATAAGTTATTTTTTATTTTATTTTTTTAAAATTAAGATAATATTTTACGCTTAATAGAATTATTTAAAAATTAAAATTGATTCAAAAATAAAGAAAAAATATTTTTAAAAAGTTTCGGGTATTCGGGCCAGCCCGAATAAGCCCAAAGCCCGAAGGTATTAGGGCCGGGCTTGGCTATATGGGTTTTTAGAAAGGGTAGGATGCTTTAAGCCCAATCCGAATAAACTCGGCCCGAATTGAGCTTGACCCGAATAAACCCGACTCGCCCGAATTACCAGCTCTACCTCCCATATCCTGAAATTATTATTTTAATTTAAGCACTAATTAGTGATTACTCTTTTGTTGCCAATGTAATTGCTACCAATGTAAACTAGCACGTGCTTTCGTGAACTAAATCAATCACTCTCTTGGAAAATGAAAATCTCACGTAAAATCCAAGTCTTCACTCTTGGCTGATGATCATGGGGAACAGATAACAACTACTAGTACATGAGCGGTTCCCTTCTCTGGCGGCAAGAGTTACAGACTCATTTCCATATCTTTCGCTACCATTATTTTTCATTTGAGAAGAATAAGTAAAGAACTAGTCTCTTCTGAGTTTCGAAAAGTTCTCATTCAATCATGCTTAAAATAAAAATAATTACAAGTGAATTGAGGCTTTTGTATTTAAAATGTCATGTAGAAATAAATCAAGTGTTTCAATTGCTTTTGAATTAATAATTCTAACTCATTAAATTGAAAAACAAAAGTTGGTTGGCACTTTGCAAAGCCTAATGTCATTTATCCAGTAGCTCTGGGAAACAAAACTGCAATTTTGTGTTGAATTAATTGTTTTTAAGTTGAAATGGAAAATTGGAAGTGGTTTTGGCTTTGAATATCTCAAGTATTTACTCAACTTGGTTTTGCCCTCGTGATGGTTTCTCGCCGCAAGATCACGGTGTCTCCATTGTTAGAGACTTAACTATTTAAAATGCTACTTGCTTGTCTGCTAATTCATGAAACAAATTTCTTATTCATTCTCTTTACAATGATCAGATTGCTTCTATCATTCTTAACTATCCATTGTCTTGCTTTGAGCAAAGAGACTCATTAAATTGGTCAGGCTCTACCTCTGAGCCTATATTGCAAAGTGCAAAGGATAGTTTTCACCTACTCATTAACCAATCCAATTTTCATTGTCTTTTGATACTTAAATCTCTCTGATCTTTTTTATAAAAATTAAGGTTGCCTATGAAATACATCATTCTTACTTGGAAGCTTTAGTTTCGTCAAGCGCTACTCACAGGAGATGTTTTGCAGAAACATCATTTACCCAATACAATCCGGTGTCCTTTTGGTTGTGATGAAGCTGAATCTTTGGATCCTAATTTTTGTTCAGTGCCTCTTTTCTCATTCACTTTGGCTTGCATGCCTTTCACAAGTATTGTGGAATGACTACCCACCATCCTTAGTAAGCTCCATCAGGAAGGCTGATAATATTTGTTCTATTATCATTCTGGTAAATTTGCTTTGATGGTCAAGAAATAATGTCAACCATGGTGGAAACCCTGAAGTTCAATATCAATTGATTCAACAATTCAATGGTCATCGTTTTCTCTTGAAAAAACACACGTCAATGAAATTTGGCTCTTTCCTTTAACTCACACCATAGATCATGCATGCTTAACTGTTCAGTGGAATGCCACAATGGGTGGTCTATCTGGATAAAGAAGGTCAAGAAAAGGAATCTTATGCATTGTCCGGTCATAATTCAGTTAAGGGCACAAACTTTGCATACCATCATTATCAGAAAACATACTCAAGACACTATGCTCCTCTACCTCCTTTGTTTAAGAGCTTTGATTTGGCGGATTAAGAATTCATGCGGCAACCATCACACAGGCTTCAATTCCTTGCAACTGGATTGTGTCAACAAGTTCCTCGTCACTCAGGATTTGCTTCATTGGAGCTCTACTCATTTGTTTCTAGGGATATTTTTTCTCTACTATAGCCTCTCACACATTTTAATGCTAAGCTTGCAGATGCAGGTTTTTTCTTTTCAATTTTTTAGTTTTTTTTCCTTGAACTCTGTGTCTTGCACAATAATCTTTTTTATTGTAGTATAATTTGCTCCTTGCTTTGCTTCAAAAAAGGGAAACAAAACAGCATTGGCTTGGGGCTGTGTGGAGTGAATCTGAAAAAATTTCACGTGACATTTTCACAAACTGCTAAAGTAAACTGATCCAAATCGAATCCATTCAGCACCCATTTGGGATGGTTCCGGGGACAAGGACCCAAGACAAGTGAAGAGGAAGCCAAATTGTTGCGCGTCACGTGCCTACATATTCATACAAGCAGACATGTTAATCTGTTCCTGCACTCTCAACTTTGAAGTCTTTCCGCACTCTGCTTCGTTTATCTAATGACTGCTAGTCTGCCACATTCCATCCTGGAATTTACAAAGGCCGGTGATCAACTGGTTGAATTGGCTATTTTCATGTGAAGCTGTTCACTGAGGCCTGCCTGTGTATTAATGGACCCAGTACGTAACACAGCAGTAATTGTCTGTTACCTCCTTACTTTACTAATGCCATTTATTGTCACACATTCCAAACAAGCTGAGGACCTGAGACTAAATTAAGTTGAATTGATACTTGATAGTAGTATTGTGTGTATTCTCTTCATTTGAATACCAAAATCTTGTCTTGTTCACTGTACTACAAACAAAACTCTTCGGCAGTGAATCCCACGCTCATTCTTGATTTTCGAATACCATGGTGGCATTTTTGTTTCTTTAAACGTGTGTAAGCATCATCACGGATTCTCCTTGTAACCGAACCGAACCAGTCCAGGACGGCATTTATTTATTTATTTCTTCTTTCCTCGAGAACAACTTCACTGTAATTTAGGGTTTGAATTTGATGATTTAAACGTGTGGTGGTTCGGTTGTGTGTACTGACAAGTTGATGCAACGAAACGACGGAGAATAGGCAAATGGTAGGTGCTGTTCCAGGCAACGATGTCTGTAATAAATGGAGGTGAGTTTTTGAATTTTCCTTCGTTTTCCTTGTCCTCTATCTATGTACCTTAGGACTTATCCTGTACATTTCAAAATGTGTCATCTCAGTGACGAGAAAATGGAAGGAAAAGAGGGTTTCAGCGCTATCGAGTGCCTCAGAGCAAGATTGCTCGCAGAGAGACACGCCTCAAAACTGGCCAATGACGAAGCAGAATCTCTAGGCCTCAAGGTATTCTGTTCATATTCCCTCTTTCTCACTTTCTCTCTATTCTGTGGTTCGTCCTCATTCTCCAGAAAAGTGTGGTGCGCAGTTGATTGAGCTGGAAAACAAACTCAGACAAGAGATTAAATTCAAAGAGAGAGCCGAGAGAAGGCTCCGATTTTTGGAGAAGAAGCTCAAGTCTTTCAACATTTCATCCACATCAGGGGAATCTGAGCAATCTTATTCATCAGGGAAGTGTGAGAGTTCATTGACAACAAATAGTTCAGCTTCCACGGATGCAGAAGAGAACGAAACAGAGCCTCATTCAGCAAATTCACCTATCTCTGGGATTCAAACCCATAATGGTCCTCCTGTTTCAAAAGATTTTGACTGCCCTCAAGATCTGCGCGAGAATCCAAGTCCAAATTCCGAAGATTTCAACAACAACGAAAGCAGGTGCTTGATTTCAACATGCAGAACCATTACATCTGATTATTTGAAGCTAATATAGTTAACAAGCATTTGTTTAAATTGAAGTAGCTGACTCTCTGTGTCAGGCTTTCGTTTTCAAGCTCGAAATCGTCAGCAAGAGATTCCGTTAGTCAGGGCACTAATATTTACAGCTCACGCACGACAAGCCCAAGCAGCTCCAGCTCCCATGAAGAACCTGGTCATCATGATCCAAATCTGAGCTCTGATAATGTGAAGAACGATGAAATGAGGGATGGAATTTGAGGAAGCAGTTCTTTATCTCATGATTTCACTTGTCACGTGGCTGAGAATTTCGGGTTTCTGGGGCAAGCACAAAAACCATCTATGATGATGATAGAAGAGTGTAATAGAAGCTGGGTGGCTGCATGCCAAGAGAAGCTTCTGGGCTTGACGGGAAGAAGACCAGTAAGAAACACAGTAACAGTGCTGAATAATTTGTATGTTTTAGTATAGAAAATTAGAAATTAGAACGTGGGAGATAGATTAAGGAAGGCGAGCCAGACGAGATCACAAGAAGCAGAGTGGGAAAGTTAGTGCGAATGATCACAGAAAGCATGTGAGTGTGACGATTTAACTTTGTGGGTGTAAATGTAAATGAATTCTGGGTTGGTGAATGTGGCCACTTGATCCTTGTGCTTTCTTGGTTTAAGAGTAGGACGGGTAGGTTGAGATCGAAGAGCATAATAAGTTGACCTAATTAATGGCCTCACTAGATGGGTGTGACGATGGATAAGGATTCCATAAATTTTGATTCAATAGCTGCAATATATCCATCATAGTATATATGCATGCAATAAGAATAAATAGGACCATTCTACAAAAAATAAACAAACAAATAGGACCATTTCAAGAGGTGATTTATTTTTAATCAATTAATATTTTGTTATGATTATTTGATTAGATATAATTCAAGTTGAATCTCACGTTCTCTTCAAATAAAACAATTCCATATCGAAGAAGACACGCCAAGTTTTTTTGCCAATAATTATGCTTTTTGTTTGATTCCTCGAAATTCACTGGTTCAACAAGAAGGCAACAGAAATGGAACGCTTGCTGGTAATGCAAAAAGAAAAGAAAAACAGCGTACGCTGGCCTCAATTTGGACTTTCGTAGCTTGTGAAATGGGAAGCATGTCCAAACTCCGAACAAGACTACAGAGGATTCCCCTAATGTTTCTTCATAAATTTATTATTTAAAACGTTATTCATAAGAAAAGTTTGAAAGTAATATAAAACTAATGTACATGAATTCTTGCAAATTATTTGGTTTTTCTTATTAAATATAAAACTATATAAAAAAAACAAGATATTATGAAACGAGTGAAGGATTAGAGTCGTTGGGGTAGTTTTGGGTGAGAGTGAAAGCGGCATATCGAGAGTCCAGGACGAGACACTTGTGGCTGTGGGATGGACTAGGCTGTAGAGAGAAGCTAAGAGAATGAACCAGAAGCTTCTTTAATGTGCTTGTGATCTCACATTTATGGAATGTGTCTCTTTGAATGACCTAAAGGACTCGGCAAAATTCATCCAACACGAGAATATGCCTTCTTCGCTTCTTCCATAGATGATGGGTTACTTATGTACTTGTATTTAAATGACAAGGCATACAACAGGCATCTTATCGAGTATCTCAAACATGTATCCACTTAAAATGATTATAGAGATCTCATCCGTAAATAATTAAGGTGCAGCTTCTTGCAAGGTCTCATCCAGGACAATAAGGCAATTGAATCAAAGGCTTGACTAAATACATTAATTATCATCCAAATATGGTAGCTTAATTTATGAGTATTTTAGAAGGGTTCAACATTTGCTGGGCAATGAAGTCTAACAAAGTTAATGTTTACTCTAACTTTACAAAGGTGCTTACACTAATACGCATAGAGTTCTCCACCAATCATCCACAAATTATAACCATCAACAATATCAGAAAATTACTATGAGAGATTGAACGGTCACTTTTGGTCACACCTTTAGGAAAGCTAATAAATGCACAGATTAGATGACTCACCTAACTTCTATCGATAATTTAAATATTTAAATTTTTAATGATCTACCTTTTGATTGTATGAATTTTTTGTAAACTGATAAGATTTAAGTTGTCTATCTACATAGATTAATCCCGTGGCCTTTTTATTAAAAAAAATGAATTATAGAGATGAACAAAAAAAAAATCAAAGCACATCAAAATAGTAACCATGAGTTTTTGAAAAATCATGAGGTTGTTATGCTTTGGTTGTGAGACTTTTTATGATATCATTTTTGAGAAATTGTTTGGCAAAAGAAAATTTAATTAAGTATTAATTAATTAATTTCAATCTCGTGAATTTAGGAGAAATTGTTTTATACATATAATAACGTGGTGGGAAAAAAAATAAAACTTAATTAATGAATTTAAGAGATTTTATTTGACCAAGCAACACATTCTTGTCCCCAAAACCAAAAAAGCAAAATAAAAAAGGCCATCACTGTGTCAGAACCATTTTCATTTTTTTTTAAAAAAAATGGAAAGTTGGCTCTCGAACAAATCGTCTAATGAGCTGGCGTGGAGTCAGGAGCCTCCTTCCTCAGTGAGTCAGCATGGCAAGCGGGACGATTATTTTTAGGGTTAAGATATTAAAATACTTAATCGATCAAAAACATTTAACAGCCTAAAAAAAAAAAAATAGTAAAAATATTGATAACGTTATTGGATTCAGATCCTCTCAACAGCGTCTCCCTCAACGTCCCAAATCTTAACCGTTCAATAAATATTTAATATCTCATACTTTACCACATCATTTTTTATAAAAATAATTTTATTTTTTATTTTCAAAATTTATTCTGAAAAATTATCCTTAAAATTTTTATAAAGGGATTTATAGTATAACTTATTTAAACTCTAACTTGACTTATTTAATAAAAATCTATTTTTAAAAAAATTATAAAGTAAGTTAGACTCTAAGCGAGTACTTACAGTCTGACTTATTGTAGCTCAGACGTAATATATTTAATAAAAATTTATTTTAAAAATTTATAGAGTAAGTTAGACTATAAGTAAATATTTATAATCTGGCTTATTGAAACTATGACTTGATCTATTTAATGAAAATTTATTTAAAAAATCTAGAGAGAAATTTTTTAGAATAAGTTTTGAAAATAGAAATGAAATAAAGAATAAAATTATTTGTATATGAAATGATGTGGCAAAATATGAGATATTAGATATTTATTGAAGGGTTGAGATTTGGGACATTGAGGGATGCTGAGGGAGACGCTGCTAAGAGGATCTGGATCCTAACGTTATTAGAATTGATATAAAAATGACTAAACCATTAACTCTACCTTAACACCATAAGTTTTCAGTGTTAAATACTAATAATATTTGCCATGTGTCACTATTTGTTGATGTAAACTAAAAAAAGAGTAAAAATACCCATAAAATCATCAGTTAGGAGCATCTAGTAGTTTAAAATGATAAAAAGAGTAAAAATACCTATAATATTAATAAAATTGGTGTAAAAGTGACCAATTCATCAAACTCCATAAATGTTGATCATTTAATTGATATCCAAGTAGAAGTTGACTATTTTTTGTTGATGTAGATAAAAAATATTTTTAGGTCAATTTTTATAGAGGTTGTTCAATGATGTATCCCGCCAAATCTTATTTTTTTCACTTATCCGACCCCTCCCTCCCTTCCTTCTTACTCATTTTTCTTGTTTACAAAACTTGAGATTCAACAAAGTAAGATAGGTTGTGTACAATCAAAAATCAAGACTAAGCACATTTCTTATGTCACCTACTTTAAAAATATTTTCACAACCTTAAGCAATTTTATTCATGATATTTTGAAATTCTCAAATGGTTATCGTCACTGTTGCAATGAAACAAGTGATTTAACTTAATGTTCAGTTAATATGACATTTTTCCATATGGTATTAATATGATAACTGATCAACCTCTATAGAATTTCACTTAAAAATATTTTTTATCCACATCAGTGAAATAATAGTCAACTTCTGATTAAATGTTAGCTAAATGATCAACATTTAAGTAATTTAATGTATTTGTCACTTTTACTTCAACTTTGGTAACATTATAGGTATTTTTTTCTTTTTTGTCACTTTAAGCTATTAAATGCTTATGGTTGATGATTTCAAGAGTATTTTGGCTTTTTTTTTTATTTCACATCAACAAAGACTAACATATGGCAAATATAATCAGCATTTGATATTAAAAATTATCGGTGTTAAGACAAAGCTAATAGTTTGATCACTTTTATATCAACTTTGATAATGTTATAAATATTTTTGTTATTTTTTTTCACTTTAAGTTATGAGATACTTTTAGTCAATCACTTGATGGCTATTTTTGTATCTTAACCCTTTTTTTAAAATAATATTCTTTTTTTATGATATTCTATGATGAAATAAAAAAACTTGTTTTTGAATAAAGTATCATTTCATAAATTATAATTTTTAAAACACTCAATAAACATGATACATACTAAAAAAAAAATAAAGTATCCTTTGATAAAATCGTAATAATCATAAGACATAAATTTATATAATACATGATATTCATATTAGTAGATCAATATAAAATATAAAATTTGTAGAAAATTATATTATTCATAAATTTTAAATAGTTTAAATTTTCTTCACTATACGCAACATTTTTTTTAATTATCTTTTAGGCATTTTATTTTCCATCTCAAATTATAAAATAACTTGAAACAACTATACTTTACAAATTTATTTTTTAAAAATAAAAATATAAAATTTTAAAAACATCTTTTATTTAATATAATCTACACATTTAATTGTTTCATTACAACCATTTTAATTTTTTAGGTAAAGGGATAAAAATATTCACAAAATGATAAGCCAGGGACACTCAATATTTTGAAGTGAAGAAAAAGGCAAAAATACTTACAACATTACAAGGATGAGTGCAAAAGTAACTAAATCGTTAATTTTAACTTAACGCCATTAATTTTAAATAGTTCAGATTTTCTTCAGCTATATGAAACATTTTTTTAATTATCTTTTTAGGCATTTTATTTTCCATCTCAAATTATAAAATAACTTGAAACAACGACACTTTACAAATTTATTTTTTAAAAAATAAAAATATAAAATTTTAAAAATATCTTTTATTTAATATAATCTACGCATTTAATTGTTTCATTACAATCATTTTAATTTTTTGGGTAAAGGGGCAAAAATATTCACAAAATGATTAGGCAAGGATACTTAATATTCTGAAGCGAAGAAAAAGGCAAAAATACTCACAACATTACATGGGTGAGTGCAAAAGTAATCAAACTGTTAATTTTCACTTAACGCCATTAATTTTAATTGTTAAATGCTGACTATACATGCCACGTGTCAGCCTTTATTGGCATGGACTAATAAATAAATAAAAATACCTACGAAGTCATCAACTAAGAGCAAAAATACCTATAACGTTACTAGAGTTGGTGCAAAAGTGACCAATCTATCAAATCCTTTAAATGTTGATCGTTTCATTAACACCTAAGCAGAAGTTTACTATTTTTTTGTTGGTGTAGGTAAAAAATATTTTCAGATGAATTTTTACAAATGTTAATCGATTATCATATAAGTATCCATAATATTACTTTAGTAGGTATAATAGTAACTAATTCGTTAATATCCATATCACATGGTTTCTTTCCATTGCCACATATCTCGCCTCCTCCCTCCCTCCCTCCCTCTCCACTCGTTTTTTTTTATTTACAAAATCTGAGATTCAACATAGTGAGATAGGTTGCACACAATTGAAAATTGAAATTGAGCACATCTCTTACGTCACCCTACCTTAAAAATATTGTTACAACTTTAAGCAATATCACTTATGATAGGTTCAAAATTTTCAAATAGTTTTCATCACTACTGTAAAGAAACAAGCAATTTAATTTGATATTTAATTAAAATGACATTTTCTCACATGATATTCATACAATGACCAATTAACCTCTAGAGAATTTCATCTGAGAATATTTTTTATCCATATTAGCAAAAAAAATAGTCAACTTCTATTTAAATGTCAACTAAACAGTCAACATTCAAGGGATTTAATAGATTGGTCACTTTTGCACGAACTTTGATAACATTATGGATTTTTTTGCTCTTGGCTAACAATTTGGTGGATATTTTTTCCCCTTTATTAGTTCACGTTAGCAAAGACTGACACGTGGCATGCATAGTTAGCATCTAACAGTCAAAGTTAATGGTGTTAAGTCAAAGTTAACAGTTTGGTTACTTTTGTACCCACTCATATAACGTTACGTGTTTTTTTATTCTTTTTATCACTTCAGGATACTGGGTACCTCTAAGTGATTACTTTGTGGGTATTTTTGTCCCTTTACGTTAAGTTTTTCTTTAGTTAAAGAGTAATATTAAAAAAGTATGATTAATGAATAATTTTTTAATTAATTTGTCTTTTATTTTGAGATAATGAAAATCCTCCAAGATTATTTTATAATTTGGGATGAGAGTATTATATAACTTTATTTTTTTTCCTTAAAAATCCACACCCATATTAAATTCTTCTTGAGATAAAAATAGATGAATCTGGAAAATAAAGTCATAAAAAATATCCACTACCGTTGCCCAGATCAAATGCAAGAGTTAGAAAAACTGTCGGTCCTAACCTAAACGAAGCAATCCCGAACCTGAGAAGTTTTGAATTCTCACGAAAACTAAAACAAGGAAAAAATGATGTTATTAAGATATGAAATCGGAAAATACAAATGCTAGTATTAGGCAACCAAAGTGACCTAAAACTCAGCATCCCTGTTTAAAAAGGTCATGGAACCGAAATCTTGGCCATGGAAGCAAAAATGAAGATCACAAGGGACAAATGAAAGGCAAAAGAACCACGATGTCAGAGAGCTTGCAGCTCAAATCTCTCTTCATTTCCTAATCTCAGATCTTGTCTGACTCTGCTCTTAGCTTTGAAGATAATGTGCCATAAAGCTCCAAATGCTTCTCCATCCACTGTTCCCTTGGATCACTGAGATCTTCGACCAACTCTGTCGCATTCGATCTCTCTGTTCCTGAAACATGAAACACCACTAAGGTCCCAACACCCATTCAACTCAGATAAGGTACGGAGCATCAGAAGCACTCCTCCATATTTCTCTGAACTTTGCATGAAAACTTATGGTCTTCCTCACAAGGTATATTTCTCATTTACTTTAGCCCATACCCATATGGTCTTTTATCTGAACTCTGTTCACTTCTTGTCCTGTCTGCTTCTGGTGGTTATATATAGCTTCAGGAACTGTGATCTCGGGACAAGGACCTTAAGCTGAAAGCCTGAAACTGACGATCAGATTGGGTTCAGGTTCGATAAATCAATCAATTACTGCATCATTTGGATGATAATTCTGAAACATAAGCTTTTATTTGCCTAAGAAATGGTTAGATCCTGCTGGAAACCATCTGTCGAAGGTGAAGATGGAGACTTGAATGGGAGACTCGATGGATTGCTGTGGTATAAGGATTTGGGCAATCATGTTTATGGGGAATTCTCAATGGCAGTAATTCAGGCCAATAGTTCATTGGAGGATCGAAGCCAACTCGAATCTGGACCCTTCACTTCCAACCATTTGGGTCCTCAAGGAACTTTCATAGGTGTCTATGATGGTCACGGAGGATCAGAAGCCTCGCAGTTCGTCGCTGACAATCTCTTCTTCCATCTCAAGAGTATGCTCTCTCATCTTTATTATAACCTTACTGTTATCCCTAAGATCATTCTCACACGCAAATTTGCACAAACCCAGGAAACAAGTTTCGTTTTTTGTTTTTTTCGGTCATCTCATTCTAGAAGTCCTCAACAAACCATTATTGTGTGTAATTCAGGGTTTGCGAGTGAAAGGCAAGGCATGTCAGAAGATGTTATCAAAAGAGCATTTTGTGCAACAGAGGGGGATTTCATGTCTGTGGTGAAGAAGCAGTGGCAAAGTAGGCCAGAGGTTGCATCCACAGGAACATGTTGCTTGGTGGGGATGATTTGCAACGACATGCTGTATGTTGCAAATGCTGGGGATTCCCGGGTGGTATTAGGAAGAGAAGAGAAAGCAACGAAAGATATGGAAGCTGTCCAGTTATCTGCAGAACACAATGTCAACATACAAACTGTGAGAGATGAACTTCGGTCCAAGCACCCTTATGATTCACAAATTGTGGTCGCCAAACACAATGTCTGGAGAGTCAAAGGCCTCATACAGGTATTATTTTGGGATCTGCTTTACTCTTTAGATTATAGGCTCAAATTCCTTACAAGCAACCAAGAAAATTAGTTAATCTTGGTAATTCAAGTGTCAAGCTCCTGGGTAAGTTAATAAAGTTGTCTTCTTTTTGCAGGTTTCAAAATCCATTGGCGACGCATATTTGAAGAAGACAGAATTTAACAGAGAGCCTCTACCAATGAAGTATAGATTGCCCGAACCCTTGTTCAAGCCAATTCTCAGCTGTGAGCCATCAATATCAACCCATAGACTTGAACCACAGGATCAATTTCTCATTTTTGCTTCTGATGGATTATGGGAGCACCTCAGCAACCAAGAAGCCGTCAACATCGTCAGCAATAACCCACGCAATGTAAGGTCCCACTATTTCCCATTTGAGAATTTCGCAGCCATAATTGTATTTTGGAGTTCCCATATGACAAGTGGTTGTGTTTTTGTCGTTACACAGGGAATTGCTAGAAAGCTTGTGAAAGCCGCACTTCGAGAAGCTGCGAGGAAGAGAGAAATGAGATTCTCGGACCTCCAGAAGATAGAACAAGGAGTCAGGAGACACTTCCATGATGACATAACAGTAATAGTTGTATTTCTAAGTCCCAAGCTGACTCATAATAATGGCTTTCTCTCGGACCCTCCCCTTTCAATCAGAGGAGGTGGCTCTGCCGACTTGGAGTGCAAGTGATGATATTGAACTTGCTTTGATATCTCTCTAAGAATTCTAAAATGTCAAGAGTCCCGCAACAGCAGCAAAGCGGTTTCTAATTGAAACTTTCAAGATTCTCTGTAACAACGAAAGAGCTGATAATACAAGAGTAACAAGAATTTAGATGAGACAGCTTAAAGATGAGTTCATAAGTTCTGTTAAGTGTTAAATATTGGTTAAGATTAACATATTTTACCAATTTCCACGTACAATCCCACGGCTTCTATATTATAACTGTTACCGTTTATTCCTCTTTCTTTTTTTCTGGCGAAACAGACAATTTTTCCATGAACATTTTTTAAGAAAAATACTTAAGTAGATCAACTATATCACATTATTTATAATTTATTTAATTAAAATATTTTAAATAATTTAAAAAAATTTTATGTGATATTTTTTAATTAATTTTGTTCTCATAACTGAATGCAAATTTGATTTTTTTATCATTTCTCTGTCTACTATCATTAAAATAAAAATTAATTTATATTTAATATTATTTAACTATAATACTTTTATTAGACAGACTATGACGTGGTGTACCTGATATATTTAAAAAATTGTCCGTTTTCTAATTGCTTTTTTACCATTTGCAGAGATATGACAAGTAACACCGTCTTTTCTGATTAGCTCAATGATGCCTGTCGTCTTATTCCTCAAGTATATTATGACAATGCATAATTGATCTTTAAGCTATTTCTTGAGTCGTAAATCGAAACTATATACAATAGCATAACATGAAAAAAGAAAGAAAGAAAGAAAGCAAGGGCGTGTCTAGTTATGATTTTTGGAAAACCAAAAGTCTTTTTGAGAAACTTTCGAAAGCCAAAAAACTGTTTGGGTTTTTTTTTATTTCAAAAAATCCATTTACAATATTTTGAAAATCTGTTTGCCAAAAACTGATTTTTAGGCTATTACTTTTGGCTCGTAAACAACTTTTAGTTACTTTCCAATAGTAAAAACTAATCTGGATCACTTTCTAACAAATTTCAATTTACTTAATTAACATATTTTTAAAAATTATCTCAACATTGATTCTGTAACTTTTATTACATTGAGTTTCATTTTTTTAAAATTTATTTTTATTGTTAAAAAATTGAATTTTGTTTATTAAAAATTTATTCGTCAAAAGTCAATTTTTAAATTTGTTTAAAAATGGACTTTTGGCAAATAAATTTTTAATGAGATGAAAACTAAACAATATTAAAAGGTAATGTCTCGTAAATAAAGACAAAAGTATCAATAATATTTTGAATTTGGATTCCATGAATCTTAAATATTACAGGACTTTTGGACCCGAGTCTTGTAATTCGTAAAAGAGCTTGGACACAAAGTAGCTGCTATCAAGAACCAAGAAGCTCCCCCCCCCCCCCAAAAAAAAAACCCCCTTTTTTTTCCTGAAATCACTCTTAAAACCAAATGTTAGCTTCTTTCTATTTTTCAAAAACGCTGAGTCTTCATTCCATCATGCGTGCACACTTTTATTTTTGAATTAAAACATTAAAATGATATCATCTGGCAAGTATTTTGGAATATAAAAATGAAATTTGTGTGATTGTTTATTTATCAACTCCATCAAATGAGCCTATTTCAACTCGAGATTTAAATATTGTTTTTGAATGATGAATATGAGATTAAGGAGGATTTAATTTTGTATTCTGCATTTTGGAGTTTAAAATATTTATATTTAATCCTTTAAAGCTTAGATTTGCATTATTTAAGTTGGACTTCAACATATGTATTTGATTTTTTGGTCTTTGGATTTGTATTATGTAAGTTAGACCAAGCATGTGATAAAGTTAAAATTAAAAAAAAAGTTCATCAAGTTTTTCAGCTTGAACCAAAGCCCAATCAATTAGAATTGAGTTTTATGAAATGGTGAAAATTAGAAAAACATGACTTTCAAATCCAAGGCTAAGGGCATGATCCATTACAGTAAAGCTATCCAATGCTCCTGACTTCACTTGTATCGGATTAAATTAAGTTGAAATATTCTAACCAAAAAAAAAAATTGGGTTGAAATATTTGATGCATAGTTTGGAGAACCCACCTAGGGCTGCTCGATTTTGTTATTTGATGATACCCACGTCTGTTGAGTGGTTCCGCATTCCAGCTTTCTTTGTTTCCAACAAGAAGAAAAGGAATAAAGATTCCAAAAAATCCCTCTCTCAAATGGTTTCATCCAATGTTCTAATAATCTAAAAGGGAGCAGATGAAGCAAAAAAAAAAAGATCCTTGGCTGTAGATTCCAGATTTCTGACCTACCAAATATGAAGATAGGCTCTAAGAAGAAAATTGCTAATTCCACATGGTTGTCACCAATTAAACCGAAACTAAGGCCACATAAAAGTAAACTTCTTTAGACTACTTTCATGTTGACCACGTCATGGCAGAATTTGGTCTACAAATGGAAGATGGCTGCACCGGGGGATTACTATGTCAATAAGTAGATGCAGGATGAAGGATGCTCAAGGCATCTCGAACTATTATAATTACACCTGCAAAAAGGTTTTCAAAAGAATAAAAGAAAAGGCCTATGGGAATGCTACCATTAATTTATGAGGAAGAAGGTCAAACAGCACAAACGAACTTACAATATAATTTCCTACTAATAAGGAAGCAAGCAGCCATTCAAGTCTGTCTGGCAGCTTCGCAAGAACCAAGAAGACTGATCACTACAAGAAGCAACACAAGCATACACTTCTTTCTGTCCCTCTAAAACGAGGCTCATATTCACGCTCAAATCTTATACTATATTGCTCTTGCCTTCCTTTTCTCTTCCTCCAATGGGTCAATTTTGGAAATTGGTGCAAACTTAGCAAGCTGAGCTTCCTTCCTTGCCCCATCATCAGCAGCAGTAGATGGATGAGTAATTCCAAATCTGGGAGGCATGTCATATATTGGTATTATATAATCATCATCATCATTTGTTTTTTTGTAGATACAGATCCCCAACCAAAACATTGTGAAGAGTGGGTCAAGTATATGGGGAAATGGTTGCCAATTCAGCTCCTCCATTAATTAATGAAACTGCAAGTACTTCTCTTCAGGTCCTCTGATTTTGATGCTGATGATGCCTGTAATGTGGACCTAGTGCCGAGCATGCAGTAATGAGGGGTGTAGAAAATGCGAAATCAAATCAAATCTAACTTCCATCAACTAATTAATTTACTTTTGCTTTAGACCTAACACAATTTAGTTGAACGTTTCCAATGGGGTGCCTACCTTGAATTGCAGAGATACTTGAACGCATGGAAGTTTTATGTGTTCGCAAAAAATCATCATTATATAACAGAGAGATAACAGTAAGAGAAAAAAAAATGGATCGATAGGGTGTATATGTTCACATTCTTGTTTAAAAATATATTACTTTTAATACTTTAATGAGTAGTTTAGAGTATAATGTTTAATTTATTATCATGTGATTATAGTTATTAATTTTTTTAAAGTTATTTATATAAAATATATAAAATAAACAAACTTAATTCTCACAAATACGTAAATTGTCAATGAAGGCTGGCTCTTGAAGGGCTAGAGCTTAAATGGATCGATTTTAATAAGTTCGATTATATTTTGAAGCTCTATTTCACAAGGCCCGACCTTGACCCTTAGAACTAAAGGGCCGAGGTTATTTTTATTTTTCAATTTACAACTTAAAAAAACATATTTATAATCCCAAAATCTATTATTACAATAAAATTAAGTTTAGAAAAATAAATTTAAATCAATCCACACCACAACAAAAATGTTAAACTTAAACATTTAAGTCTAATATCAAATAGTAACACCAAAATTAACACAAATAAAAATTAAACTTTGCTATTTTATAAAAAAAATTAAATTTTATTAGTATTATCAGCTAAATTATGATGAATGAAGGAGTGAGGGAGGGATGAAACTAGATTTTTTATTCCTTTTATTAGATATTTAGTTTTTTATTTTTTTTAAATTGAAATTAAAAAAAATAAAAAACTTCATAAAAGTGGCTCAACCTTAATCATTTCAGGGCTTAAAAAAGATATTTAAATTTCCTCTTAATTGACAACTTTATCAATGTGGTCGGCAATGGGAGCCAAATTTTTCAACATTGCACAACAATCAAGAAAATTAGAGAATGCACAATAGATTTATCATCAACTGTGCAGATTCCCTAGAGTAGGCTTTTTTTGGCGTTGTTTTATCTTTTCCTAGTTTTTTATTTTATCTAACTTTCAGTTTTGTTGGCCTTTCTATTGCCAAAAAAAAAATCAACTGTGCAGATTCCGCATGCACAACACCATGAGACCAGTTTCGATACTAATTACAATGATAAATATCATAGTGCTCATCACTGTGATAACATCTGGACCATCTAAATTAAAATCTGGATGGTTTAGATTTAAAGGATTATTATATATTTTTATTTTTATATTTATTAAAATAAAATATATAAAAATTACAAAATAATTTTAATAAACTTTTTATTTTTAATATGGCCTAGATTTTATTTAGAGAGTTCAATTTAATATTAAAATTTTTATAATTGATATATATTGACTATCCAGATGTACTCTGCACAGACTATATTACAGTTAATCTGACTTGTGCAGAGTACATCTGGATAGTCAATATATATCAATTATAAAAATTTTAATATTAAATTGGATCCTCTAAATTAAATCTAAACCATATTAAAAATAAAAAATTTATTAAAATTATTTTATAATTTTATTAATAAAAATAAAAATATATAATAATTTTTTAAATCTGGTTGGTCTAGATGTCATCATAGTGATGAGCACCGAAATTGATCTCTGATACCATTGTTTAGATTTTTTTTTAGGAAAAAGAGGCAACGGTACTTATAAAATTATCGCTTATGAGTATTCAATTTTTAAAGTGAAAAAAGTTGTGCGAGTGTCTATTATAACACTCCAATTTTACTAATTAACAACTTAACCAAATATTATATTAATAAAAAGATTTAAACTAATAAATAAATAATTATTATGGTATAAAATTTAAAGTCAATTTTTAAATTTATTTTATAAAGATGATCACGACAGAAAAAAGTTAATCTATACTTTAAAAAACTATCATAATTATAAAAAAATTTATCTACTACATAAATATTTAAAATTTAGCTTTGATAAAAATAATTAAACTAATTAAAAAAAGCTATGAAAGTTATAAAAGTTTGTACTTACTATTTAAAATAATAAATAACACCCTATCATGGTAGAAAAGAGTCTACCATGG